GACAATCAAGGTTCATGTACCGAAGTTCCTGTTCGCGGGGAAAATCAGCCTGAAACGCACAAATGCTCATGTAAGCCAACACATGTAGCCCACAGCGATTCACGAGTGGGCGCAGACGACTACTACGTCCTGGAGCATCATCCAAGAGCTCTCGGAGACGTGCTCGTTGTGCATTGATATAAATCATAAGCAGGTTTCGTTGAAGATCCGGGCCAATATGATTCTCAAAGACTTGCTCAGATAAGGAGCTCAGGAACATCATGTGAGTATGATGTGGAGGATCAGACAATGTTTCCGCAAGTCGATAGCATGTCTCTGTAGCATCAGGCTCCTGTTGCCACCCATTCGTCGAGGAGTGGAATATAGTGGCATCTCCATCGCTGTGACATAAACCATGCATCGCAATAGTTCCGCTGGGCCGTGTTCGGCGATGTGGAACTGCTCTGCCACTGGCGATACTGCTGCTTGTACTGCCGAGCCGAAGATCTGATGAGGGGCTGTAAATCGGTGATCGAGATCGGCTGCCCGACCGCGGGGCAACAGCAGTAGCAACGGCTGTCAGAAAGACCAGAAAGAACAACATGGCGGCAACGAGTGAATGTGATCTGTAAAACGTAGTGCGTGGACCGAGTGACAAAAAATCATCATGCAAAGCGAGCGTTGAAAATGCTAACCCTTTCAGGTCATGTGCATGATAAGCTAGAAACAGCGTAGAGAACAGTATTGGACGACACCCAAGAGAAAACAGTTCGAGCCAGGAGCTTAGCCGCAACAGTCTCATGTGGCGCAAAATTTGAAACGACATGAGACTGCGGAGCTGCTGTATGCTGCTGTAATTTCACCGAGTCTCTTCTCAAGGTGCTGTTGTAAAGACCAAGCCTGCGGAACACGTCCATGCACAACGCAGCTTTGTTGTCGGGACATTGTGGCCACCCCTGTGTGTCTGTCGAATGTCGAAGCTGAGCGACAAAAAGCACAGATCTGCATTCAGATTCTCATATCGCACGATGTGCTGGGTGACATTAGCATCTGCACCTAAGTAGTTCTTGCAAACTTCAGGAGTCGCTGAAGCCATCTTGGAAAACTCAGTTCAACATCTCGCCCAATCTTTACCCCTCCTGCCCTTACAGACAGGGGGCTGTCATCGTAATAAAATGGCCACCGGGCCCTGCCAGAATTCAAGTGTGTTTCTCAAGCTCTTTTCGGCTTCGCATCTGGGAATCCACTGATGGCTATGCTGGCAAACGAGCACCACAACAAAACTAAAAGAAAAGGCACACACCCCTGGACCGAAAGAAGAGGACTCGGGAGTCTGGGCAGTGCACAAGACCAAGTAGCAACGATTGAGAACTTTTCCACCCCACACTCCTGCGACCCAAACTCTCTCAGCCCCAGCCGCTCCCAAGCTGGAGCAAAGGAAGCAGCCCTACAACCACTGGCGAGGTCAACCGCGGCAGAAGCAGGAGGTGAAGTATCTGCACCAGGACCCACGATGTGAAGCTGAAAGGGCAAACGCAAGCCACTCCCTAAACCAAAACTTCAACTCATTTTCAGGAAGGCGCCAGGCTATAGGAGCATTAGGCTCTTGATTCCAAGCCAAAGAAACTCTGCAGAAGGGTCGGCTTTCAAGCCGATCCCAAGCCGCGTCACAGGCGCTCGATGAGGCGCCGCGTGAAACCGCGGACTCTTGCTACCTATGCTCTCGACCGAAAAGGGGGTAAAGAAACGCTTCTCAAAGGCTTTCTTTCCTAGATAACCTTCAAACACCTCGAACCAAGAAGCTCCAAAAACGAAGCTGCTCAACAGCCCAGTTACGGTACTTACAGAGCCTGTATGTCCACGGGAGGTGGTGGCCTCTGTGATGTCCGAGACCGCACCAAGATCATCAAGTAGGCCAACACGACCACATGGCTGCACGAACTCCGCATCCGCTGCGAAGTCCAGAATCCGAGACCAAATCTCAGCTTTTAGCTTCCATCTTCGCAGGCCATGGCTCAAGAATAAGAGCTGGGCCATGGCATGCTCCCTGCGTTCCAGTCGCTGCCGCTGCAGAAGTAGAACACGACGGAAAGAGTCCGGTCCTCCACGCGTTCGGATGAGGTCACGTAAAGCCTCGATGGCAGGAAGCGACTGTCCCAGCAACAAACCAGGGCCATCCCGACCGAGAACTTGTCGGGCCCCTCCTTCCCGTGGACCGGAGCTGACGGAAAACATCAGCAAATAAATGATAAATGCTTCTGCCAGGTGGAAACCCAAGGCAATCTTCATCGCTGAAGTGAAAGCCCAAGATGGGTCCATGCAAATCCGAGCGAGACCAATGGCAGAGTAGCCTCCAAAAGCGCGCTCGAGGGTTTCTGTATCGTCAAGCATTGGATAATAGACAACGTAGAAGCCGAGCACAGTGAACACAAGAGATTGGGCAACAGCTTGTGGCGATGCCAGCAACAGCACTGGACAATTTAAAATTAGAAATACTCCATACGACTGTAGCTTCAGAAGCTGGTTGCTTGTCCACGGATCTTCTAGAACATGCAAAGCCAGCTTACTCACGCTGTCTCTTGATAGTATCGCCGCTACCAATCCCACAGGCATCAGGCTGCTTGCGAAGACAATGAAAGGCCAGAAATACTCCGTGTTGAGATCGTGATCGGAGTTGATCCCGTAAAGAGTTTTCGAGACTAGTGACAAAGGCTGGTATGTAAAGTACCGGACTCGTGCCCAGTGCCGCGTGCCCTGAGACACGGGTGACAATGGTGCCATCAAGTTACGGGCCACTGCCGCCGCAAACATCTCTCTACTCTTACAAATACATGGGCTGGGGTGACACACTTCCCTGACAAGTTTTAGCCTATAGCATACAAGAGGGGTGCCTGAATTTTAAGACATACGGTGTGGCGCCCGACTGCGAACTGTTACAGCACGGACAGCCAATGTGTGCCTCACTTAGCAAGCGCCCTGACAGCAAAGAACAGGCAACAGCAAGAAGAGTGGTTGATACTATACGATTTATCAGTGCCTTGCAGAAATACTTCTCACCCTTGGAATGTTAATAAAAAGAAATAAGAAGAACCATAATTAAGTAAAAGGCAAAAATAAATGTAAGTATCAGAGTGAGGCCTTCCATAATTCTTTGCACAAAAACCTTGACAATAAGAAGCCAACCGCCGCTTGTTTCATCAGGTCCTTGTGACCCTATCCTTAGGAACGGTCTAAACGAGTGAACGATTCAACACAAAAAAGACCACTCAGTTTGCCATCGACTTCACTATTGTATTCGTTCCTGACTAGTTTTTCGCCTGACTTCCCTGAACCTAAACCTCTAGCTTTCGCTTATTTGATCGAAAATATCTACAAAAATATTTCCGGCAGAAAAGTTGCGCTCGCCGACACGAACTCAAGCCGACTTTTCAATCGAAAATAGTTTCTGATGTTTCTGGCCGACAAAGTTGCGCTCACCGACACTAACCCAGGCCGACGTTCAGTCGAAAAATTTAATGAATTTTAACGACATTTCTTTGAGCTCACCGACACGAGCCCAGCCCGATGTTTCGGTCACAATTTCAATGTTTTGAACTTTTCCGTCGAAAAATATCTATAAAGATTTCCGACCAAAAATTGCGCTGGCCGATATGTGCCCTAACTCAGGAAGACCTCGCAGTTGAAAATACAACCGCTATCTATATATGTATATGTATATGTGTATGTATGTGCACATAAATATATACAATATGTATATATATATACATATGTATATGCATGTGTATGTCTGTATACATATACACACATATATGAATATATATATATATATATATATATAATTATGTTTACATATATTATGTCTTTATACATGTGTATATGTATATATATATATATATATGAGTTTCTATTCATTTGCGCTTTAGTTATCTATCTAGCTATGTACCAGAACAGAGCACGCTAGATGGCGGCAGTCTTTGTGAGTTTGCAGCTGTGCAGGGGTTAAGTGGAAGTCGAGATCAAACAGGGCGAGCCCCAAGATCAAACCGGGCGAGTCCCGGGATCAAATCGAGCCAAACTCGAAACCAAGAGATGTTTTGTGTGGATGGTGATGATAAACGAGTTGCTGAGCCCTCTAGAGCCCTCCAGGAAGGTAAGCGCGGTGTTGTGTGTGCAGTCCCGTGTCGTGTTGTGAGGTGCGTGGTGTTGTGCGTACTGTGCTATGTGCTGTTTGTTGTGTGCTGTGTGGTGTGTGGTTGTTTTTCAAGCGACTCGGTGGCGACCCAGCGGCGACCCGGTGGCGAGCGACCGTTGAAATCAAGCATGAATGGGGCAAACTTTGCAGCACTTTTGCAACAAACTTGGAGCATGCTGTGCTCTGCTCCTGCTCCGCCCCGCCCTACCCTGCCATCCTGTCCAGCCTGCCCTGCCCTGCCCTGCCGCCCCGCCCTGGCCTGCCCTGCCCGAGTCATTCTTGAATGAGTCATTATTGAGTCATTATTGAATCGCTATTGAATCGCTATTGAATCGTTATTGAATCATTATTGACCAGAACCCCATCGTTTTGGAGCCGTTTTGAAACGAAGTTGAGCATTTTTTCAGCCTAGAACGGAGAACAATAGTTTTTTGACTTGATCGAAGAGACTGTTTTGGAGCGAAGTTGAGCGTTTTATTCGCCTCAAACAAGTACCCCTGGAAGCCTACCGTTCTGGAGCCGAGACCGCTTTGTGACGGGTTTTGGATATGGTGCTCAAGAAGAAGGACATTACAGCTGGATTGCAAGAAGGTGAGTGATAAGTACGACACGTCTTGTGGCTATCTTCTGGCTAAATGGACGGAATCCCTGCCAGCGACGCAACCGACATGTTGAAGGCGAAACCACGGCCGCAACCCCAAAACCCTTTCCGACGCATGCGAACCTGGCCGCAACCTCTGCACAAGCTCTCAAGTCTGCAGATTGCCGACCTACCAACAGGAGTACTACACAAACGTCCCCCAAACCGCAGATCCTAAACCCCACGGGCCTCAGGCAGGCAACACAGCAGCCGCTGCTTTCGCACGCGGGACAGAACCGCGGAAGCGGCTTCGCCTGCGGATACTATTTTGAGAAGATGAGGGGGAAGCGTACAACAGCACAGGTAGCAAAAAAACACTAAAATGTACTGATAACATTAACAATAACAGCTATAACAGTAGTAACAGTAGCAATAACAAAATGCTAATGACAACAATAACAGTAACAACAACAATAGCAATAACAGCCACAAAGACAGTGAGGGTGCTAGTGACAGTACTAGTAATAGTACTAGTAATAGTAAAAATCATAACAACAATAAGGAGAGTAGGAATGACAATAGCAATTACATTAACAATAGTCATAGCAATAGACATATGAAAACTAATGGTGGTAATAATAATCAAAAATGATCATACTGTTCATAAAAGTGGTAGACCCTTAGATTCGGGAAAATCCTTTTGGCATCAAAGCCACCAACTCCCCATCGCCAGCAAGATTCTCAGCCGCGTCATCGTCTTTGTTCATTCTCGTCATCAACCACATGGCTCCGTTGCTATGGTTTGAGAACCTGTACTGGCACAACGACTAACACCGGTGCTACTATTGCCCCTCACCAGCACCACCAGCAGCAGCAGCACCAGCACCAGCAGCAGCACCACAATAAGCACGACCCCGCGCACACGTCAGACGAGAACCACTTCGCCCCCGAAGAATCCTGCTGATGACGACGATGGCAGTCATGTTTATTTGCTGATTACTAGCAGAATCAGCACTGGTGCAATTAAGTGGCAGTCTGTTGTTAGGATATTATTACGCAAAAGGGCCCTGCATGTTCCCGAGCCTCGAAGAGATTTGGCATTCGCCCACCTGCATGACACGACTCTGACATGTGTTACTAGCCTGTGGTGGACAAAGGCTTGAGACGACAAGTGAACCCAAGAATTAACACACCGCGATCAAGATCTTGAACATGTTGCTGTCTGTTTCCAGTGCACCCGGGCGGCACCAACAGATAACAAGCCCGGCCTGTTCTGTCTGCGTCGACAAGCAGGTATTCTGCCCGAAGCTGTCTCCTGTCATTCAGCGGAAGCAGACGGCACTAGAAAAGGGAAGAATATCAGCTGCTATATTTTGACATGCACCTGCAGGTCGCTGGAAGTCTCTGCATTTTGCATGAGCATGAACCTCAGGAAGAATGGTTCTTTGCAGGAACTTCCTTGGAGTCAGAACCTCGATGCTCAAGCCAACTCAGCCCAGCAACTCTGCGTTCGCTTCTCTGCGTGCTGCGTGCCGTTGGCAGTACCGAGAGCAGACGCAAGAGCGAGACACGACTTGTGCCACGTGCTTGCTTGGTGTGCATATGTGTGTCCGTCATTGGACCGGAGAATCGGGGCTGTGGCGACAGCCAACATAGCAATCGTGATGCAAGTAACAATGGGAAACACCAGTAACCAGTAACGGTCGGGATGGAAGGACTAGTATATAACCAATACAGTTTTGAGGAAAAGGTGTCCCAGACAGCTCGATCCGACATGCAGCAGCATAGAGGCCACGTGTTGCAGGGGATACGGAGGGTCACTCATCGCTGCCTGAACATCCTACGAAGAGACGCACTCCGTCTGATCGCCACGGCTAACGCACGGCACTCCCTAAACCAAAACTTCAGCTCATTTTCAGGAAGGCGTCAGGCTGTAGGAGCCTGAGTTCGTTAGCAGGGCGTGACACCTATCAGAAGCCAACTTCAATGATTTCACGTGCACTGCACATACGTAAACTGCCACTCTTCTCTAAACATAGAGAAAAGCTCCAGGGGCACTAGGCTCTTGATTCCAAGCCACAGAAACTCTGCAGAAGGGTCGGCTTTCAAGCCGATCCCAAGCCGCGTCACAGGCGCTCGATGAGGCGCCGCGTGAAACCGCGGACTCTTGCTACCTATGCTCTCGACAGAAAAGGGGGCAAAGAAACGCTTCTCAAAGGCTTTCTTTCCTAGATAACCTTGAAACACCTCGAACCAAGAATCTCCAAAAACATAGCTGCTCAACAGCCCAGTTACGGTACTTACAGAGCCTGTACGTCCACAGGAGGTGGTGGCCTCTGTGATGTCCGAGACCGCACCAAGATCATCAAGTAGGCCAACACGACCACATGGCTGCACGAACTCCGCATCCGCTGCGAAGTCCAGAATCCGTGACCAAATCTCAGCTTTTAGCTTCCATCTTCGCAGGCCATGGCTCAAGAATAAGAGCTGGGCCATGGCATGCTCCCTGCGTTCCAGTCGCTGCCGCTGCAGAAGTAGAACACGACGGAAAGAGTCCGGTCCTCCACGCGTTCGGATGAGGTCACGTAGAGCCTCGATGGCAGGAAGCGACTGTCCCAGCAACAAACCAGGGACATTCCGACCGAGAACTTGTTCTCGTGGACCGGAGCTGAAGGAAAACATCAGCGAATAAATGGCAAATCCTTCTGCCAGGTGGCAAAACATCATGACCTTCATCGTTGAAGTGAAAGCCCAAGATGGGTCCAAGTAGACCCGACCGAGACCAATGGCAGAGTAGCTTCCAAAAGCGCGCGCGAGGGTTTCTGTATCGTCAAGCATTGGATAAAAGACAACGTAGAAGCCGACCACTGTGAAGACAAGGGCTTGGACAACAGCTTGTGACGATGCCAGCAACAGCACTGGACAATTGAAAATGAAAAATACTCCATACGACTGTAGCTTCAGAAGCTGGTTGCTTGTCCGCGGATCTTCTAAAACGTGCACAGCCAACTTACCCACGCTGTCTCTTGATAGTATCGCTGCTACCAGTCCCACAGGCATCAGGCTGGATGCGAAGACAATGAAAGGCCAGAAATACTCCGTGTTGAGATCTGGATCGACGTTGATGGCCACAAGAGTTTTCAAGACTAGTGCCAAAGGCTGGTATGTAAAGTACCGGACTCGTGCCCAGTGCCGCGTGCCCTGAGACACGGGTGACAAAGGTGCCATGAAGTTACGGGCCATTGCCGCCGCAAACATCTCTCTACGATTACACATACATGGGCTGGGGTGACACACTTCCCTGACAAGTTTTAACCTTTAGCATACAAAAGGGGTGCCTGAATTTTGAGACATATGGTGTGGCGCCCGACTGCGAACCGCTACAGCACGGAAAGCCAATGTGTTCCTGACTTTGCAAGCGCCCTGACAACAAAGAACAGGCAACAGCAAGAAGAGTGGTTAATACTATACGATTTATCAATGCATTGCAGAAATACTTCTCACCCTTGGAATGTTAATAAAAGGAGATTATCAGAGTGAGACCTTCCATAAGTTTTTCCATAAACATCTTGACAATAACAAGCCAACCGCTGGTTGTTTCATCAAGTCCTTGTGATCTTTTCCTTAGGAACGGTCTAAACGAGTGAACGATTTGACAGGAAAAAGACCACTCAGTTTGCCGTCGATTTCACTATTGTCTTCGTTCCTGATTAATTTTTTCGCCTAACTTCCCTGAACCTAAACCTCTAGCTTTCGCAAAATTTGGTCAAAAATATCTATACAAATATTTCCGGCCGAAAAGCTGCGCTCGCCGACACGACTTCAAGCCGACTGGTCAATTGAAAATAAAAACTGATGTTTCTCGCCGACAAAGTTGCGCTCATCGACTCATCGACACTAACCTAGGCCACTTTTCAGCCGAAACATTTATAGATACTTTCTCGAGCTCACCGACACGAGCTCAGGCCGATTTTCAAGGTCGCAACTAATCCTATTCTTGTGCACCTCACACTGGATGTATCACTTCACTAGTGCAGCCATTGGCGGCAAAATCTGTTCATGCTATCGGGCGGGTGGCTGGGATGCTTGAACAACCACAAGATAACATTTCGACCGTGTGATTGTCAAGGTCGCAACTAATCCTATTCCGCACTCGGTGTAACCTTTTTTGCATCTCTGATTGGATGTATCACAAGTGCAGCCCTTGGGTGAGTGATCGAGTGTCGACCAGCACTTACGGTGCGACCTACCTCCCACGTCCTTCTCAACATCTCATATCTGGGCTCCGCAAGCGTCATTGCCCTCTCCGTCCCTCCCAGAGTTCAGGTGGGGGTAAAACGAGAGGCAGCTAGTGCAGACAGGTCACGGTGTAGAAAACTCGGACGGAATCCTTGGTCAGGATTTGGCTGGCAGGAAGCCAGGCCAAACGTCACCATGGATACTTATGCTTGTACGCGCCAAAGAACACACCAAGGGGCGAACCGTGCGGAGAGCAAGGCTCCATGCGCAGAGGGCACACACAAGGCGACCCAAAGGCGTCGGCTGGGGGAACACTGCTTCAGCACCGAGGGCGAGCACTCCACCAATCAGGTACAATAAAGAAACACACACTCTCGCCGCAATGACCAGCACAGAGGCGCAGCCCGAACAAAGCCAACAACAAAGGCAGCAGAGATGTTCTCATCTTCACATGGTCTCTTCTTCTGATTTTTTCGGTTTGAAGCTTTAGAGTTTTCTTGAAGAAGTTTCGGGATCTAGATTGAAAGGATCAAAGGCACTCCGTGACGGAACCAGCACGCAATGCTGTGCTCAAATGGTCTCGTCTCACAAGTTCCAGAAGATGTTTCATCATCTCCAGAACTGACAGAACCAACAGAGCCAAAAGCAGAGTTGCAACTCAGCGTTCTGGGCTGTAACTGGCATTCAGCTGTTTGTCTCCAAGCAAAACACTTCCAAGCAAGACGAAACGAAACGAGTGCGGTCACTGACCCAACTCAACAGCTTACTCGCAGCTTCAGACATGCCAAAACATCAGGACATCCAAGATTACAGGATTTTCACAGCGTCTGTCGTGCAGGATCCTACTCGTCCGCATGTTTCCAGAATTCAGAACTGCCACGGGCTGTGTTCTGCAGAGGATGCGGAAGACTTTGCTGAGCAACAAGAGCTCTTGGTGGAAGCGCCCTTTAAATGCACTGTTGCACAGAGCAAGAAGCTTGGAGCTGTGTCTGTCCCGCTTCTCTGCTTATTGGGTCCAGGAGAGTTGCTGATGCACGGATTTTGAGCAAGCACTTAACTGCGAGACTCCCCCTCTGTTGCAAAACGGAGGTTGCATCTTCATCTCCTTCGTGTTCTCACGCCTTGAGCCGAACCTTCGAGCCTTGAGGGTTAGGGATGGGTTTAAGGGAAATCAAAAATCACTGGAAAACGCTGACGTCCAATCATATCCACAATCACGAAGCTCCAAGCTAAAGCTCAAGTGAAGACAAGCGGAATCAGCAATCGTTCAATCTCCAATCACTGCGCTTCAGAAGTGAGGCTGCCGAAGATGCCAGATGTTTTCAATCGGTGCGTCGAACTGATGCCTGTACCTCGAAGCGATGCGCCACATGTTCACATGACGGTCGCAGTTGCCTCGAGACCCCCGGTGTGGGAGTGTGGGTCACAAAACAACTTGAGTCGTGACTCTGCAGTCGTGATCTCATTCACACTGTACAACCGATCAAGCAGCACTGCATTGTTCAACTGAAAATCATTGGCTCCAAGTGAAAACTTCATGCACACGTCCGCATAAAGGTGAAGCATCCAGAGATGGTACGTTTTTCCCCCCCACCCCCCCTCAAGGCTCACGAACACACTTTTGGTAGGACCCAAGCAGCGTGTTCTCACGCCTAACTGCGGTTCAGGCAAGACTCGGGCATCGCAACGAAGTCCCGATCTGCGTCCAGTAACGTCTTTGGTTGTCGGTTGTGAGACCGAACCTAAAAGGTCAATCATGAAGCTGACAAGCAGAGGACGTGTGACAACTGTACAATCCAAGGTGCTTGAAGCTGAGGCATGAAAGACCAAACAAACTAGAGTCGTTGAGGCCAGATTAGCCGAAACATGGGAAACTAAGGCTCAGGAGAGCCGAGAAGAAAGGTGAGCCTTTGGCTCAGGTTTGCTAGAAGGAGAGGTGCAGGGCTACACAGCAAGCACAAACTGCCTAGCGAGAGCCTAAGCAGCATCGAAGTGACGTGCGGAGCAGCTGTACACCTCTACGGCTTCAGATGGGCTCGACGTGGGAACTCAGAGGGACACAGCAGCGCGCCTCAGCCAGCAGCCCACGCCCCGCAGCACGCCACCGCAGCCAGCAGCCAGCGGCAGCAGCCAGAAGAAGTGGTGCAGCACGTAGTTCCCCGAGGGAGCCACCGTAGAAGCCGTCAACGATGCAAATGTTCAGTGTCGTAGCGAGTTTCACGGATCATCATGAATGATACGGGCCGGCCGCCTCGCACGAAGGTGCTGCGCCAAGACATTGGAGGCACCAGCAGAAGCCAAGATGGCCCCCCGCTCCCAAAGTGCTGCACGATGAAGCTCTGCATGCCAGCTCACCCTGCCGGATCCACGAGCCCGGTGCTCGCGAATGCTGTTGGCAGCTGCATCGGCCCGTTCGTTAAGGTCCCTGCAGCGGGCGGCCGTTTGGCCCCAGGGAGCAGTCCAGTTGGGCCGCCGACCATGTGCAGGAGTCCACGAAAGCTTCAGGTCCAAGCCACCGGCACGCACATCACGCAGTAGCCTCGCAGCCTTGTGAGCCAGGAGAGGCATGGAGCACGCCTCAGGTTGAGCCACAGCCTGAAGAGCAGAGCTGCAATCCACCAGGATGCCGACCTGACAGCCTGGGGCCAACTGTGCACGAGAGATCGCCTCGAAGAGGGTCGTCAAAGTGAGGAGCTCACATCGGAAAGCCGACTGGTCCTCACAAGCATCACCGAAGACGAAGGTGCCGTCGCCGCTTCCGAAGATCACGGCACAGCCGCCGACATCAAACTTAGCACTGCCATCGGTCGCGATGAGCAGACGCTCGCCCACAGTAGCGAAGTTGCGAAGATGCGCCACAATGCTCTGAAGGATGTTTTCAAAGTCCGAAGCTGCAGGAGCTGCAGGGTACTCAGTGATTTCGGCCGCAAAGAGCCGTTCACCAGCACGGGTGGAAGGAGGTGCGAGACCTTGCCGCAATCCCGTCGTTGAGGCGCAACACCAGGTGAGATGCGCTCGGCTGGGCTGCAAGAGGCCACAAACACACGCCGTGGTGTCGGGTGAGCTCATCTCCAGCCGTTTGCAGTGGTACCAGATGGAGCCGCCCGAGCCCAGTGCTGCAAGGCGAACTTCACGTGTAGGCTCAGCCGCGACTGCAAGGCGGTGACCTTCAAGCGCAAACCGAGCACTGCGAAGCGGGGCCCCCAGGCTGAGACCACGGGCCAACGTTGCATCATCGCGGTGGCCACGATTGCGGATCCGCCCACACGAATGCACGCCCTGCCACTTGTAGTGGTCCACAAGCCAGCGCTTGACCACATCAAAGGATTCCCAGCCAAGGTGGCACTGACGGAGGGTGCCCGAATCGTCGAGCCGTGCCAGGATGGCGCCATTGCCTTGGACCTGCCAGCCTAACCTTTGCACAACCGCCGCCGCACCAGGGAGGAAGCGACGCCAGTCACCACAAGCAACATCAAGCCCAGCCGTGTCGAGCCAGGCCGGGGGCCGAGCCTTGAAACGCCAGGCAGCCCGCAGGGATGCCCAGTCCGCCGCCCATTCAGGGTCCAAACTCCAGCCAAAGGAGGCACACAGCAAGACTTTAGGAGACTCGAAGGTGGCGTGCTTTTGCAGGACAGCACAAGTGGAGTGCCAAACGTCGCGCAAGCAGTCGCGGTCCGGGCAGGCGACACCACCAGCCCAAAACATGGCCGAGTGGACCAGCTGCAGCACGATGCGACGGAGCTGGGGCACCTCCCCTCCCAGGAGCTTGAGGAAGCGAAGGCGATGCAGGAGCAAGCGTGGGCTAAACTTAAGGAGCCCCAGGGCACCCTCCTGCATGTCGAGGGTGATGCCCAGCACCTTTAAAGTAGTCACGCGTGGGTAGCTCCTGGCACTGGCCCACTGATCGAAAGTCCCGACATCGGGTGGACACACCACAGCACACTTGCTGGCACGGCACTGGAAACCGAAGGCTTGGTCAAAGGAGTCAGAAGCCCTCAATGCCACATCCATGGCCCCAAGAGGGTCCGCACACGTGCAGGAAGGCCACAACACCCTGTCGTCAATAAAGATGAGGCAGTCGGTGCGTCCCTTGGCAAAGGACTGGACCCACATGGCCCAGATATGGCCGACCGCAACCGCGGCCATTGGGGAGAGTGGGCATCCCTGCGCCAGGCCCCGCGCCGGGCTGCCCCATGCACTGCTGGACCGGCCCTCGTGCAGAAAGAGCCTCGAGGCATCCTGGTAGAAGGAGGCTAAGAGCTCAGCGAGGCCAGCAGGAGCACCAAGGTGCCGGAGCACCATACCCACCGCCTGGACATCAAGAGAGTCGAAGAACCGCGTGAGGTCCTGCTGGCAAAAGACTTTGCCGCCGCTCTGCCACGCATGAAAAAGCCGGGCATGAGCGTCGCCCGGGCCTCTACATGGTGCACCGCCCAAGGTGTGGTGGCCCAGCCATGTGTCCATCCACGGCAGCACATTGCGAGAGATGCAGTGGGCACCAGCTCGCCAGAGGACAGGGCACAAGGCGATCGGTCGGTATTCATCCAGGCGCTTCGGCACCAGGGCAATCAGTGCCCGGCGCCAGAGTCGAGGAACGTACTTCGTGGAGAGCACCGCATTCCACAGAGTGGCCGCCGCTTCCCACCACGGCCCTGGGAGGCGGAGCAGAAGCTCCGCTGACCATCGGTCAGGGCCCATCGCTTTCCCCCGCATTGCCTTGGTGGCCCGCATCAGAGCCTCAGCTTCGACCTGGAGCACAATGTCCGATTGCGGCCCGCCCGGGACACGGTCAAGGATGCGTTGCACGGCATCGAAGTTGACAGGGGACTCCGGCTTCCAGTGCTGCAGCCACACTTTACCATGTTCTTCGACAATAGAGGCAGGGTGAACAGAGGAAGGGACACCAGCATGGGCCTGAGGAGATTGCTCCATGGCCAACTGATGGTCAGCTTTGCGCTTGACCCAGGCGAGGGCACGAGAAGGATCCTCCTCAACACGGCAACGCCACCTGTGCACTCTGGCCTCCGTCTCCTGCTGCTGAAGCTCAGCATGCAAATGAGAGATCACCTGGGTGGCACCTGCAAGGTTGGCAGCATGTATCACAGGGAGGTCGGGGAAAGTGGCACGAAGGAGCCCAGCCCGGCGGCCCACCGCACGCCACAGCTTCTGACAGTGGGGCTGTTGCCGCAGTTGGTGCAATTGCCCAAGCAACTTGCGAGATGAACGGAGGGACTGGGACTCATGACCCTGGGGGCCGACACGATGGTGAGACTCGTGGCGGGCACAAGGGAGCCAGTGGTCGCTCCTGCGGGCACCAGAGGCATCGAAGAGCGAAGTGGCACCCAGCGTGCGCTCGGCCACGTCTGACAAGAAAGCCCAGGCTTCATCAAGAGCCCCACCTGCAATAGAACTCTCAAAGTGTGCGGCATCCCAGACCCTACCAAAGTTAGACAGGATGTCTTCAGTGGCCGTGGCAGGGAGCTCACGAAACTTAGGCATGGAGAAGCTGTCGGCACGGCTCAGGCACCGCGTTTCGTAGAAGACACACCCGTGGTCCGAAAGGTGCGGGCGTTCGAACTGCTTGACAGCCGTCGCAATGATTGACCAATGGGCCAGGCCAAAATCAATGCGCCGGGTGCGCGTGGGATTTGTTGGGCCGGCTTGGGTCCAGTCCGCCTCATCCAGAGACCGGAGCTCGCCATCGCACAACAGCTGCACCACAGCTTGCTCAGACTGGTCAACATTGAAATCGCCGAGCAAGATGTAGGGGCCGCCGAAGGTCGCAGCTGCACGCCTAACCTCACCTAAGGCCTGGGCTGTGGCAGCTGGCTGACCAGGGAAACCGTAGAAGGCCACCACAAGGGTGATGCACTTGCTGCCAGCAGCCTGCATCTCAAAAGCACCTGCAGCACAGCGCGCAGCCACATGAGGAGGGAGCTTAAGGTTCACCCGATGCATGGGGAGGGAGGCGACTAAGGCTACCCTATGCACACCCTTGGCAGCATCGATGTCGCTGAGAACAGCCCGATACCCATGGGCACGCCAGCGCTCACCAAAACCCTGGGCCGACAAAGGGTTGATGTCAGCCTCCTGGAGAGACAAGAGCTCAGCCCCACACGACTGGAGGAAGTCGGCACACAGGTCCACTTTGGAGATGGCCGTGCGGTTCGCATTGATGCTCAAAAGCTTGACGAACACGGCGAGGAGGGGATTCGCATGGAGATGGCAAGCTTGGCAGCCGCGGCAGCACGGAGCACCTGGGAGCAGAAGTCGGGGTCACCTCCGGCACGCCGGGCCCACGCCTCGATGGCATCAAGTTTTTGGATCCGCTTCTGGGTGTTGCTCTGCGACTTGCACCGGCCCTCGCTATGCTGCTTGGCGGCAGCCAGGTCCCTGGTGCACTCACCGCACCGGAGGCACTTCCAACCATGCTCAAGGAGGACATGCTTGACCCGGGTGCTGCGTTTCTCACACCTGGCTCGAGGCCACACAAAGAGCTGCATCTGGTCCCCAAAGCGAGGGGTCCTGACTTGAGCGAACACGGCCTTGGTGAGGTTGCGCTGGCGGCACCCTTTGGCATGCACCTGGCGATCCTTGGGCCCGGTTTGCGGGAGTGCCGCAAGACGCTGCCACTCAGCCTTGGAGACCTCGGGGTGGGCCTGTGCACGATGCTGGTTGCGCAGGGCATAGTAGGAGAATCGAGAAAGGTCCTTCCGAGTCTCATGCGTGATGCCCTTGTTGCAGAAAGGGCAACACCAGATGAACTGAGCCCTTGGGCCGCAGACCCGCGTGAGCTTGGGTCGCCCGATGTCCGCCTGCAGGCCCTGCCCCTCATGGGCACACTGGTAGTGGTTGTGGCGGATGTGGTAGTACTGGTGGTTGCTCGTGGCCTTGCGCTTGTAAGGGCACAAGTTGCACCGAAAGGTGAGGTCAGCCGGTGCCGTGGCATGGGCCAGCCAAGGGCAGCGCTTCGGGGGCACACGAGCTCGCTCAAACTCGGATTCATCGAAGGCCTCGATAGTGCCAGTAGAGGTGCAGGTGAAGACGGACGAAGTGCACAGCTCTACCGCCTTGCGCTTGGTGCCTGAGGGCCTTGCCTGGGCCGTGGCCTGTGATGACCTCGCCTGTGGGCCTGGTCTGGGAACCATGCAATGCCTTTGCCTTGCACCTGGCACTGGGTGGGCACGGCCGGGAAAGGGCCTGCACCTTTGCCTGCGACGACACCCGGCTGCCTGAAGACCTTGCCTGTGACACCTTTGGGCCGCCTACCTTGCAAAGAGGGCTGGGCTTCGATCGAGGGCCGCCCCGCAGCACTCCCCGAGGCGCTCGCCGGCATCGAGGTGGTCCAGACGGATGCCGGGCGAGCCTGGGATTTTGCCCCTTCGCCTTCCATGACCGAGGTCCACTGAGAGGATGGCTGGGATCGAACACAGGCAGCAGAGGAGGCAGTGAAGACCGATGGGGGCCCACGGCCACCTGCACGCAGCCCAAAGACGGGTCCAGCTGTGATCTGGGCATACTCACTGGGATACTTCTTGTGACCCTCAGGCGGGAGCATGAGATCAACGTGGTTATCCTCGTACCACAACACCAGCATCTTGGCAGCTTTGCTATGAAAGGCGTAAGGAGAAAAGTTGAGGCCCGCCGGCAGCACGACGATTTTGATGTCCAGCACACGGCCCAGGGCCCTCAGCTCGACATCCGAGCAGTATGCCCCCTCCTTCTCCATAAGAGTGAGGTAGGCCGGGAAGTCCCGGTCCTTGACCGGCTCACTGTCCGGCCCTTTGCCGTCCCATTCCTTCTCGTACTGGGTGGCGTGCCGGCGCATGTGTTCGACCATTTGCGCACGGAGCATGCGCGGGTGATTGGGCCGAGAGTCACCAAGCCATTGAAGGCCGAGGCTTAGTGCGTGCAGCACGCAGGCTCCGTCACGAGGGCATGCCTTGAGCTGGAGGTCACCTGGCTTGGTGCGCACCTCCTGCTTGACACGTTTCTGCTGGGGCACTTCCTTGCCGTCCTCGCCCGTAGCCAGCTCCCCCGTGGGAGGTTTGACGATGGTGGCAACGACAGGCTGCTCGAGAGCAACGACCGGGACGGCCTTCGAGGCGAGAGGCTTCTGCTTCTTGGAGACGACACGGAAAGGTGCCAGCGTTGCCCACAAGGACAAGGGCTTCTCCTGATGCTCGACGACGAACGGCACCAGGTCCGTGTCTGCGGTTTCAGGTTGCTCGCGGAAGCGAAAGCAGGACCCGAGGCGAGTGCGCCGATGCGACAGGATGGTGTACTCAGTGAAGCGTCTGGCCAAGAGCTGGCCGACGGCATCCACATCCCACTCGTGGGGCACACCATCGATGTGCCAGATGCGCACCGTTGCTTCTCCAGCTGCCATGGCACTTCGCCACGCCAATCGCCCCCCATTGACGACCAAACCCAGGCTGGAAGCCTGGCGCAGGGCACGTTCAAAGTAGGCGTCCACCTTCTCGCCGGGGAGCTTCTCGATCCATTGGAGCTTCGCCCGGGGCCCTGAGGTGCGAGCGGCATCCACGAAGACACCGTCCTTGCCAGAGTGGGCCAGGATGCCCTCAATGTCTGCCTTCGGAATGCGAACAATGCCAAAGTACTGCTCATGAGTGTCGTTGCGCTGCTTTTCCAGGACCCAGGCAAAAGTGTCGAGCACCTTGATCCTTTGGGCCGCGACCCAGTCTACAGCGGCCTTGGAGGCGTTGCCCCCGAAAGCCTTCCAAGTGTCGGCTGAGGCGAACTGCTTTGGCACCTTAAAGTAGACGACTGCACTTTCAGTGGGTTTGATCTTGATGGACGTTTGGCTCAGGCCGGTGGGCTGCGGAGCATGGCCACTGGCACCTGCAGACGTGAGCTTCTGGACCTTAGCAGTCCTGAAGACCAGGCGATCCCCAATGGTGCCCGGAATGCGCTGGGCCTCCTCATCCTTGGATAGGAAGACAAGCAGGGCCTTGAAGCTCAGCCCGCTCCCCCGCAGAATGTTCGTAGCAAGCGTGACCTGGTCGGCCGAAACAAAGACTACAAGTTCGAGGACCTTGCCGGCATCAGCCTTGTCAATGAACTCAGCTAGGGCAGCATACTCGACGACCGGAGCGTCCCAATCAGATTTTCGAAGCTTGAAGGCGCCTTCTGGAGCCTTGCGCCGGACGATCTGCCAGCCATCACCGGCTTCCTGCCCGCCTGCCTCACCGCAGCCGCCCTTGCCCTTGCCCCGGCGTTGACCTGAGTCGCCTGGGCCACCGCGCTGGGCCACCTTGGCTGGGCCAGACTTGTCTCCAGGCTTGCCCTTGCCTTTGGCTGCGCTCTGGCGGCCACCTGCACGCTCGCCGCCCGAAACGTCGGGGTTGCCACCTGGGTGGCTCGTGGCCTGCTTGGCCTTACGTTTCCTCTTGCGCCTGCCCTTTGGCTCAAGCTGCACGTCTGGATCACCGGACGGCCGGGCAGCAGCCAAGCCCCCGCCAAGATTGAGCGACGCCAGGGCCTGCTTTATTGCCTCGTCAACTGCCTTCTGGATCTGCTCCTTGATCGACTTCATGATGCTATCGCCAAGGCTATCCCCAAGGTTGCCAAGGTCAAGGTTGAAACCAGGGCCAGGGTGAGAGGCCTCGCCCAGGCGGCATCCCCTCTTCCAGTCATGGCACACACAAAGCATCGGCTCACCTGCAGGGGCCCGGCGGCCTGTCACACAGCACCTAGGTGCACACTCAAACCCTAGGGGGCCTAGCGGCGCCGGGGCCGGCTGCTGGCGTCGCGGAGGACCTAGAACCCAAGAGGGGAAAGGGGGATGGCATCCAGCACCTCGGTTCGTAAGCTCAGCAGGGCCCGGGTGCGAAGCGTCGCCGAACCTAAACCCCAAATGCCAGTTCCAGGTAATCACTGCTGGTGGGCCTCGCGGACCCGGGTGCTTTGCCTCACCCACACGGACACCTTGCAGGAATGCAAAGCAGCGCTGGAAAGCAGGAAGCCCAAATTGCACACACACCGGGAGGCACTGAAGGGATTGCTGACATGATCCACACTGGCACTAGGATATGCATGCGCTTGGGGCACCGTCCAGATGGGGCCGCCAAGAAAATCCGTGCCACAGCTCTGCTCGATCGCACTGCCACCTTGGGCCGTGGCGCCCAGGGGGCCCCCAAGGAAGTCCACACCTGCCGGTTCGCAAGAGGCAGGGGACTGACACTGACACAGGCCGAGAGCTGCAGCACCGAGGCCATGGCGGCAAGGAGAGCTACTCTCGGAGGGGGCCCCGAACGGGCCGGTCTTAGAAAACATGTTACCAAGGAGGCAGGGAGAGGCCGGGCTAGGTGGCTCTTTGTCCTTCCACGGATCTTCTTTGATTTTCGCGGTTCTCGGGTCGGGGCCCTTACGCTACTACATCTGGCCGCCGGCTGCAAAGGAAGAGCAGCGTCGCCATGGTTGGTCGCCTCCACTTCGGAAGGCCCAGCCAGCTCCGCATTCTCCTCAATCTCGCCAGCAGCCGGCTGCGTCACCAGCTCAGCGTCCGCACCAGCACCAGGTCGCCCACCAGAAGGCGGCAGCCCTGCTGCCACTTGCTCCCGGCTGCCCCGCTGCTGCTGGACATTTGCATCGCGATAGGCCTCCGCCGGAGCAAGGCCAAAGTCCCCGTCAGCAAACCACAGGGTAGTGCTTGGGAAATGTCCCATCGCCTGGAGGCGCTCCACCCAAGGTGGGTCGCCATCACACCGCTTTGTCAGCTGCTCGGTCCAGAGAAGAACGAGGGCTTCACGTACACGAAAGAGCTCATCCACTAGCACAGCCGATCCCACAACTGCACTGGCATCCTCATTGAGCCTTTCCAGGAAGTCTTCGATAGAAGCATGCTCACCCTCAAGCATAGCTTTGAGAACATAGTTGCGCGGCGCAACTCCCCTGAACTTTCTGTAGCTGACAGGTAGGATCAGCTGAGTACTCGACGTCGCGGCCTCCATGGCCGCCAAATCCATCATCCTTTTCCGCTCAGCACCCACAGCGCCCCCCGAAGAAGGAGCCATGGCACAGTCGAGACAGACTTAGCCACCGAGCCTACCTACGGTGTTGTCCAGCTTGGAACTCGCGGAGTTCCTGTCTCGGGCCCAAGCTACGTGTTCTCACGCCTTGAGCCGAACCTTCGAGTCTTGAGGGTTAGGGATGGGTTTAAGGGAAATCAAAAATCACTGGAAAACGCTGACGTCCAATCATATCCACAATCACGAAGCTCCAAGCTAAAGCTCAAGTGAAGACAAGCGGAATCAGCAATCGTTCAATCTCCAATCACTGCGCTTCAGAAGTGAGGCTGCCGAAGATGCCAGATGTTTTCAATCGGTGCGTCGAACTGATGCCTGTACCTCGAAGCGATGCGCCACATGTTCACATGACGGTCGCAGTTGCCTCGAGACCCCCCCCGAAGGAAGGCAGCCAGTCCGACATGTGAAGATCACCAAGGTGTTTTGCTCGTCTCCTTCTCCCGGCGAGACATCGCCGACTCCCTCGAGACCAATCGCTGCAAGCTGACACGCGAATCCAAGAAAGCACTCCTGGAGTGGACCATGCGAAGGAAAATGTCAAGCGGCAGATCGTCCAGCTTCAAAGGAACCCTCAGCTCCGGGCAGAAACTCGAAAAGTCGTGGTTGGTAATGGCATCCGACAAAGTGTTCTCATCTCTGGGCCTCCACTGCAGCGTGAGCTGCTTGTTCACTTTATGCAAAGCCGCTGCACACGCCATCTGAATGCCCATCAGTGGCCACTTAGTGCTCGAACCCTTCTTCTGCAGCTTGCCAGTCGAAGAATTGTCAGTTCCGCCGCAAACCACAGTCCTGATGTTGTCGTGCACTCCCGCCGTCTCCTTTTCCAGATGATCAAATACTTTCAGCGCCGCAAGCGAGGCCAGCATCTCTGCACTCGTCGATGCCCACTGGCTGTCGCCATCTTCCTTGAAAAGGCAAGGCAAGTCCTGTGGCACCACATCGAGGCAGAACCAACGGGCCCCCGACGGGTCCGTCCCATGCTCAAGTGAGTAGCCCCCGAGCACCACCAAGACGTTGGCACATTTCGCATCTGTTCTGAAACTCTCTCGAGGTGCCCGCCAATCCTGAAGCACACTGTGGAGTCCTCTGGAATCCGCAAGCTGCTCCCTGATGTATACCAGCGACACGAAGACCATCTCCGGAATCCTCGCCACAGTCCCCTTCTGCAAGACGGCATCAAAAGCATACAGCGGTGCAAGAAAAGGCTTGATCCAAGTCAACACTCTGGAAACAAAGTTGAGTCGTCCAAGGAATTCGGCGAAGCGCCGACCCGTGATGAACCAGTTGTTCGCCTCGGCGTTGTCAATCCAATCAAGAACCCAGCGCGTCCTCTTGAGCGAAATCCCAGCGGCACTCTCCCGGTAAGAAAGCCAGTAGCCCACGAACTCGCACTCAACACCACCGTGAAACTTCCGGTAAGAAAACGGCGTGCCCAGCACCTCGTAAGCAGCAAGAATCATCCAGAGCACCACGTATTTGTCGGGACCAGTCACCACGATATGAAGGTCATCAACATACACAATCTGCACATTCCAGAGCCGTCCCATCACTCTCAAGACCCAGCGTCCGATGCATCCGAACAATCTGGCCCAAAGGATCGCCGCTGAACTTACTCCGAAAGTTCCTACGCAATTAAGCCAAATCACTTTGGATGCCGACGAAGTCCGGCAACCCAACAAGGGCCAGTCGCGTCGTCGTATTTTGGACCTCCTGTGTGCCTTAGCAATGTCCGCCGCAATGGAGAAGGGGACACCAAAATCCTGCCGCGCCCTGGACACGGTCTCGATGATTTCTGCAGGTCCAGGCACTTCGAGTTTGTCTGCAATCCTGATACCATTGTTCAAGCGGACGCCGTGGGTGGCGTCGTGAAGAGGGCGGACGTCACCACTTGGTTTAAGAATGGCGCCCATGGCGGCCACCAGAAGTCGCCCCTCGCCGTACTCCGCCTTCACGGCCCCTTCAGTCGTCGCCACCATCAAGCCTTCCCGCTCCTCAGCCCTGAAGTGCTCCTCGATCTTATCTGAAGACAGTTCAGCAGAAGAGTAGTTCTGCATCTGCGGTTCAAACTCACTCTCATCCAGCTTGCGGAAACGGTCCCTCGGCCGGAACACCTGTGGCGCCGTCGGCAGTGGTGAGTCGAAGCCCACCGGCATCCCCTCGGCATAACACTCTTCCCCTTGCACAAGAATCTCCCAGTCGGGGTCACCAAGTAGCCTCAGCGACTCGGCCAGCAAGTACAAGTGGAACGGCTGCCGCTCAGGTACACGCAGCAGGTCTGAAGACGCCCCTGGGATCAAATCGACGATCCTCTGCCTCAACTTCTGCAAGGCAGGCTCCGCGAAAGGAGAATTCTTCACATGGCCCGTCGCGAGACGGAACGCCATGTCCTTGGGGTCTTTCAGCTGATCAATCACAAAGTCTCTTAGCAGTCCGCGAATTTCCTCCGCATGTGCAACCTCATCACTCGACGCCAACTTCTCTCTCGCCTCGGGAGCCCAACGGCCAGGCGAGCACAACCCAAAGCCGTCCACAAACTCTTGCTTGCCCATTTCAGACTTGCAGATCATGGGCTGCCCGAAAGCGCGACTGGTCTTGGGGTCAAAAGCTTCCCTGGCCGACTCCTCATGATCGATCACCACTACCTCCTGAGCGTCTCCAGTGCCTGAGTTGTCTATCGCCGGCACTGCTGCAGCCAAGGTGGAGTTGCCTGAGGAAACGAAAGATTCCGCTGGTGCCTCCCCCCCCGCAGGAGAGGAATCCAAGACAGGAAAGCCCAATGAAGCCAGAAAAGCAGAGTCTTCAGCGGAGAGCAGGTGCAAGTTCTGAGGGGTGTATGCAATGGCAATGAGGCGATCCCCAACCCAAGGTTGGGTAGCATGCAAACATCCACGGGCATCCAAGTAGACGGGCCCGTCCTGTAAGGAGTGTACAGTGCCTGTGACGGGCGAGCCATGAAAGGATCGCACCTGGGTACCTGAGTCATCCTGTATCCAAATGCCACCATCAGAAAATGAGGAAATTGCCACAATCATGTTGGGCACTGCTGCGGCTGCGTTCCGCGGATCACGATGAACCTCACTGCTAACGTTCTTTGTGAGAACGAAAGCAGCATACCGGTGGTGCGGGTCCACCGAATGAAGAAAAGCATTGATCACACGCATGGACTCGGGGAATGTATAACAAGTGGACCGCGGTGCGGTGAGGCCCTCCTGATGTACAGTGCCTCCAAAGAAAGCGGTGCCAGGTTCTGCGCTGCCTGTGATCTTGTGAGGCCGAGTCTTAGGAAGCAAGTCGAAAAGAATCTGAACTGAAGCGCGATCGAAAGAACCGCGTGCGATGCACTCTGTGGCAAAGGCCTCGGCTGACGAAGGGATGTTGGCCGGGATCAGGTCGGAATCAGCCACGGCCCTCAGCTCAGGCACCACACTCAAAGAGAGACGGGCGAAGAAAGCAGCGAAGTCCGAAGGATAAGCCGCCGTGGCGGCCGATTTCCAAGCGCCATCATGAAAGCCGCATGCTCGATCTGCATGTGTATGCGGGCACCGCAAGAGCGGTCCCACGTAATCCCCGTCATCATTGAAACATGGCATCTGTATCCCAAAGTCCAATGCCCCGGGCAAATTGGATAACAAGCGAGTGGGTTTGCACGACATAGCCCCGAAAAGGCATTGATGCAATGCCCAGCAACTGACATCGCCTCCAGTGCAAATCTGACGAACCTCATCAAAAGACCAAATAGAAGCAGGCCTCTCACCGGACGGCACACGCCAGATCTTCAGGATGTTCAAGAATGAAGTATAAGCCCTGCTGCCTCTGTAAACGGATGGCCTGCAAAGACTGTTCACGAAGAAATTTGCCAGCGTGGGCCAAATGCCCCCGCAAAACGATGTCTAGCCCGCGAAAAGGTGGAACATGGCGGGCTCAAAATAAGAACATCATAGGCTCCAGACGAAATGTCCTTGAAGAGACGCTCCCAAAGCCTGTGCGAAGATAGATCCTGTTCAGGACCTCGCAGCAAATCAAACTCATGCAAAATTAAATCCTGTCCCCGCGACGTGCAGAGCTGCTGTAAGAGTGTGATCTGATATCTCCATCCCGTGCCTGCCCAGCGAAAAGATACAGCACCGTGAGTTTGGAACGTCAGTTGGTGGCTTGTGCCCCGGTAGGTGCGGCCATCTTCGCTGCTAAGCTCTGGAAATGCTGCCACATCGGATGGGACTGCATGCACCCTCGGATGCGACATACATGAACTCTACCACAGCTGTGAAAACACAGCAGCAGCGCGCTGAACCCTCTTTTTCTCACGGCTTGAGCCAAAGTCAGCAGCCGGAGGCTTTGTCTGTGCAACTGGCCACAGATATTCCATGTGCCATAGCACTGCAAGTGAAACACTGCTCAGCCACGTGTTCTCCACAACTGCAAAACAAACTCAAACGTCAGTGGGAGTTCTCGGGACCTACTCAAAACTAGTGCAAGCAGAACTACAGCTACACAGTCACTCCAAACGTAGTTACACCAAGGAAAAACACTTCCCTACACTCTCAAGCACTTCAAAAGGCTTTCCACTGAAAGCAAGCTCGTCAGTCAAGCCTCCAAGGCAAAACTTTCAGCTAAAACGACTCACACCTGAGCAGGCATGCAGGACAACCAAAGTAACATGTCTTAAACATGAACTTTCACACCCCCGCTTGGACTGTAATGCCTCAGCGCAACAGTGTAAGCACAGCTCTTTAGGCTAAGTGCTCTGTTCGTCATCCTCGGCACACGTCCGCACGGCAGTCCCTCCTACGGCTACTTTCAAGACTCGCTTAGCAGCACGCAAAAGAGCCCTACCTAGCTTGGTGGGGTAGTAACCGGTTGCCTCAAGACTTTCAGGAGCAACATGCACATGATTCTTGTCACAAGATTTCCCGGAGAAGATTTCACACCACTCCGAACAGTTGCAGGCAAACCACCATCTCTTATAGACCAAATCAAAAGCACATCGGTCTACTTCTCGTCCAAAGGATAGGCCAAGGGACTTCTTTACTCTTTGGTACGTTTCTTCCTTCCAAAGTCCACAGGTCTTTGGCCACTCCTGAGTCAGCAGGACGTCCTGGCAGTGGTTCTGCAACAGCTTTCCTAGCGTTTTCCACGAAGCAACATGCTTCTTCATCTGCTCACGCCAGCGATGGCGAAACTTCGGTTTGTGCCAGTTCTTACACCGAAAACTACAACCTGCAGTACATGGCGACGCTACATGGATATAGATCTTGGGCGGATTTCGTTTCAACAGACAGAGCAGAACTTCTCCTAAAAACAACTGTGTGTTCTTACTCAAGAAGTCTTCTTCCTGAGTGATGCCAATGTAAGCAACGCTCTCACGCTTGCACGCTGCACACAACGCACTGTCACGGGCACAGAACAGCTCAACCACAAGCAAAGGAACAACCCCCATAGCCAAATCAACGGCTACCGGACGATACTTCAGTAAGTTCTCCGGAAGCTCTTCAAGCTTCTCGTGGAGGTTCTCAAGTTCCTCCACTCTCTCTCGAAGTTGTTCAGGTACACACAGTGTCTGCAAGTCTTCCTCACAGATCCGCTCAAGTCCACAAGCCTCCAGCAGATGCTGGAGCATAGCTTCTTCAGGACTCTTTGTGAGTCCGTCGCTCGGATTCAGGCATCCTTGGATGAATGTGAGACGCAGTCTCTCACTTTGAACAAGCTCTTGCAAGTACCGATGCCTCAACTCCAAATGCCGCACTCGACGCAGCAGGCCTTTCATCTTCGAAATAGACAATGCCGCTTCACTGTCAGACGACAGGTAAATGGGATACGATCCCGTGTCACCGGCAGGCAGGCCTTGAAGGAGCGTTTCCAACAGCAGGGACAGGTACACAGCTTCCTTGGCAGCTTCAGTAAGCGCGGCCAGCTCTGCTTCAGCTGAGCTTAAGGCAGTCACTGACTGCTTCCTTGAGAAGCACTTGATCATCATGCCATGCCAAAGGACAATGGCACCAGACACTGAACACACGTTCCACGAGGCATCCACATACCCCGAAAGCAAGGTCTCCGACTCAAAACTCTGGTCGACCCAGCCAAACGCAGAGAAGCGCTGAAGGTACTCAGGCAACGCCATCACCCAACGCACAACTCTTCTTAAACAGGCTTCGGCTTGGCTGTCAGGATCACTCTGAAAACGACCTAGAAACCCAACAGGATAAGCTAGGTGAGGAAGCGTGAGACTGGCCCACATGAGCTTCCCAAGCACACGTCGATACCTTTCGTACGACTCAGTGCTTATTGAACCTCCAGGTTCCTTCTTCCGGTACTCCCTCTCAAGGTTTCCCAAAACAGGCTTCACACCTTTTCCGCTGATCCCAAACTCTTCACCAAGCGACTTCAAGTAGCCCGGTTTCAAGCCGAACAACACAGGTCCAGCGTCCGTCACACGGACGATAATTCTTCCTAGAAACTCAAGTTGCCCTTTCTTTCCAGGCTCCAAGATCCCAGTCTGCTTCATTTTGTAAATCTTGGCCAACTGAGCATACAGCTCCTTTGCAATCTTTGAGTTCTGGGAGAAGATGATCAAGTCATCAACATACACCAGCACCAAGGTCAAAGAACCGTCCTTCTCGAGACGGTGGTGCACAGTAGGGTCCGCAGTTTCTCCAAACCCAAACTGCCCACGCAACGTGTTGGTGAACTCCAAGTACCAACTCAACGGCCCAACCCGCAAGCCATTCATGGCTTTGTGTAACTGAGCAAAAAGCGGATTGCCCTGATCGTCATACATCCCGTTCGGAAAACGGATGCACTCAACACCTTGGACAGGCGCCTGCATGAAGGCTACCGAAACATCGGCAGACAACAGCGTTCCTCCACGAACCGCGTGCACAGCAAGGACACCTCGTAAAGCTTCCAAGGAGGTCGTAGGGGAATAGATCCCGTCAGCCAGAGGGCTGGATCCAAGCGCGTAGTCACGCACAACCAAACGCGCTCTCACACGGTCAGGGTTTGTCACAGAGGGTTTGGAAGTTAGAACCCAACGAGTGGTGTGGATTCTTCGCACGGCCTTCTTCCGGGCCTCAGCTTCTCCAATCACGGTTGCCACACCAAAGGCATCTAACTCCGACAGCTCAAGCTTCATCCCTTCTTCAAGATGCTTCCTAGCGAGAACCTTCCCTGAAACTTCACACACCGCGTTATCTGGGACATGTACCCAGATTTTTCTACCTCCAAACTTCATACTGAACCACTCAGCGGGATTATCTCCCCTCCTCAGCTTCTGCGTCACACGAAGGTCAGGTCCTTCATAGAGCTGGCGAAGACCATACTCGTACAGCCAGGTCAGGCCATCATCCATGATATTATCTTCACCATCACCCATCTCAACATCATCCTCATCAAGGACACCACCAGGAGGAGGTTCGACATCCATCCCTTCACCATCAGCAGGAAGAGAGGGGGAATAATCTGCTAGATCCTCATCCTCCATCGCATCAGGAGCTCCAGGCTCTTCTGCTTGTCCCACAGGGAACTCTAGACTACCATCAGGCAACGCCGGAGGGTCAGGAGGAGGCTGAGGTGCATCCAGAGGCACATCAAACTTGATGGGTCGCTCGGGGTCCTCCCGGTTTCCTTTCAGTTGGTCTAGCACTGCTTTGTCAAACTCTACCGGGTCCCGGGCACGAAACGAGCTGAAAATCTCCAAACGAGGCGGCTTCCCATCTCCTAAGGGAACAAAGACACGTATCCCAGAGCCGTTGGCGCCATGGGGCCCAACGTAAATCGCCCTCACTAGGCGCTTTCCTCGATGCTCCGGATAGTCCTTTTGTGGCTTTCCAAAGCCTACCACCCCAAACTCACAACTCTTCACAGCTTGGACTGTAGAGCCCCTGAGGCGTTCCAGAGGCGTGCTTTGCTCCTTGGACACATGAAACAAGTTATGCATCCTAACAGCATACCGCATGGCTTCAATAAACAAGTAGCTCCCTAACGGCAGCTGCCCTCCTACACGCTCTTCCAGTCCTAGCCAAACAGACCAAAACGCTTCTTTCACGAGGCAAACGTTACGCTCAACAATGCCTTTTGCCTGGGGCCTGTTCACTGCAAACGGAACCCAATGCATGGACCGTCCTACAAACGTCCTATGCTTCGCAGAATCCCGGAACACACTCTCCAGGAGGTTTTCTTGGTCACCGTGGACCACAATGTCCAGCCCGTTGAGGCCCATCTCAGAAAGAGCCTTGCAAACGGCTGGTACAGGCACCGGGTCCTCAGGACCCAAAACAACAGTACTCAAGTATCCCGACAGGACGTGAACGATCAACAGAAACCGAACATTTCGACCGAAGAAGCCAAAATCTACTTGAAGCTCTCCCGGCGCATAGTGGCTCTTCATGTTCTTGCGTCGTGCTGGCACACGACCACGTGCCGACTGGCACACATCACAGAAACTCAGATAGGGCTGATGCCCTTTGTTCCGGTGCGCTCGCAAACGCTCTGAAGTAATGTATACTGGAACCTCAAGGTCTTCAGGAGGAGACAAACCTGAACCAGACGGCTCGGGACGCGGTTCGGGGTCAGGAGGGCCGGGAGGTTGAGGCTTCGGGTCGGGGTCTGGCAACAACTCTTCTTCAGAATCAACAGTGATCTCAACCGGCAGACCTGCAAGCATACGCGCCCTATGCACAACACGCTCGGACACAACATGCTCACGCACAACATGTGGGGCCTCAGGAATCCGCGGTGCTTCTTCATTATGCTGCCCACGCAAGGCAGCAACTTTCTTAAGCACTTTGCGGACCAAGCACAACAACCTTCTCATCATCGGCCGTTGGACTCTCCAGGGGAAACACCGACGGGGATTCCGACCTTTCAAAGTTACTCGCACCCACTTGTGTCTCCTACGGCTTCCGAACCGCAGCTTCCTACGACCCCCGCTTCGACGCACTACCACAGCTACAGCACAGACTGTCAGCAGCACGCAAAAGCGAAACCCCGCAACCTTTGAAATAACCCTGAACAAGGCTGCGGCACCCGATCTTTCTAAGGAACACCTGGGCAGAGCGAGACACTTTGTGGATCCATTCGGGTAGGGCGTAGCTTCGGGAACACTCAAGCAACACGCACCTACCGCACCACACTCGAGGTTACCTTCTCCTAAAGCACTGCACTCACGACAACCTACCGCTTCGGCACTGCACTCTAGACGTTCTACAGCTTCGGCACTGCACTCTAGACTGCCTACCACTTTGGCACCGCACTCTTGCACCTTTTTCGGGGAAGACACAGAAGAGCTCACTTTGAGGATGACGGGCCTCGAACCTAAGGTTGAGGCCAAAACCTCAGAAGAAACACACCGCCTCAGATCGAAGGTGATCGATCTCTCTTCTTTGGCGTAGGGGCTAGAGTTGCCCTTGCTGTTGGCCGTGGTGCTTTTGACGGCCTGACTGAAGGTCTCACTGTAGGGCGGGGCGGTGGAGTTTGAGGCACAACCGACACACTCGGAGTGATGGGCGTCACATGCTGGCCCACAGCTCCAAACACCTGGCGCAACGGCCCGGTGGACCACGGATTGAAAATGCCTCGGTATCCTGGCGGTGGTGCTGGAGGCACTGGTCCCATGTACCCCAAGAAGGGCGGCGCCGGCGGGAACATGTGCATCTTCCCAACAACCTGCGGTGCTTGTGGTACAGGGCCCATTGGCCCAACCATCGGCGGCGCTGGAGGTCCCATGTGCCCAACATCCGGCACCTGCCCCCGCCTTCACTTGAACAGCTCGGACCGGCGGCCTCAAAGCAACTCGAACCGCAGGCCTCGCAGCAGCTTGAGCAACAGGCCCCGCAGCAGCTGGAGCAACAAGGCTCACAGCAGCTTGAGAAGCAGGGCTCTCCGGAACCTTGGGCATCGCTTTCACCAAAGGTGATCGTTGGGGTGTCTTTGGAACCGCAGATCCAGGCGACACCGGCGTTGTCGGAGGCGTTCCTGGAGGAGTGATAGCTTCCACACTCGAAGACGACAGGCTGATCCGCCTGCTGGCTGGTAACTCCGGAGGAGTCCCAGACTCTACGGCTCCCTCGGGGGCCGCTGAACTCTCGGGGGCACCAAGGGCATCCCCAAGTTGTAACTCCAAAGTAAGCAAACGAACTGTAGCAGCGGCTTGCTCCTGAGCAAGCAGGGCTGCTTGGAGCTCTGCCTCCTTGCGTGCCCTCTGTTGGGGCGTCCACTTCTCGACAGCCACATTGGCGGCTGCCTTCGCCGCTGCCGACGCTCGCTCCTTCTCCGCCAAGTTCTTGCTGGCGGCAACCATCTTGAGCTCTTGCTCCCTCAGCAAAGCCACTCCTTCGGCGGCCTTGTCTCTCTCGCCCTCGTTGTGGTCCTTCTTGTCCTCGGCGACCTGGTCCTTTTCTCGTGCACAGCGCTCCTTGGAGCCTTTCTTCTTCTCCTTCTTCTTGTCCTTCTTCTTCTTCTCCCGAGGAGTCTCCGGTGGTGTCTCGGGCGGCGTCGGGGGTCCAGGCGGCACCACAGGCGTCCCCGGTGGAGGCGGGCTCGCAGGAGGGCCTGGCACCGCCTTCCATTTCCCCCAATCGTCGGCCTCGTTGCCCTCCTGAGTGGGAGCGGGAGGTTCTCCAGAAGGCAAGGCCGGAGAAGTTAGGGAGTGAAATCCCCGGTGGAGCAATTCCTTCGAATCGCATCTGTTCATTGCCACTAGTTCTTCGGCCTCTCGCCTCTGCTCCACGCTGCGACTCAGCTGCAGCTTCTGCACCAACTGCTGTCGCCTGCTGGATGCCGCTGTCTGCATCGCTCTGAGATCTTGCCATCTCTCGGACATAACCATCATCTGGGCCGGCTCCTTCTCCTGAGCGACCCCTTCCGACGGCATCTGGAGCAAAAGGGCCCTCTTCTTGACACACAGTCCCCGTCGTAACGGAGATGACTCCATAGAGAAAAATCACCCACCGCAAGGCTCGAGACAGAACCGCGGCAGAAGAGATACGTTTCTGCTTGCTTTTACGTGTCCCTAATGCACCTGCACTTGCACACTCCGGACGACAGGCAGCTTCCGAAAACCCTGCACACTCACTCCTACAGGCAGTCTCCGAAAACCCTGCGCACTCACTCCTACACGCAGTCTCCGAAAACCCTGCGCAAACCTTCACTGAAGCAGCTTCCGAACCACAGGCTCTCACAGTACTCTGAGGCGTTGGCGGCAAAGGCTCTACACTCACACATGCACTCGCACTCCTACCGCTCCTACGGCATGCTTCGGTGTGTGTGGTGCTTGCTTGCTTAAGCGAAACGGCTGCGGACGAAACACAGACTTCAGAACCTACCACACAACCCGCACACAGCTCTTCAGAACAAACTGCAGGCACTACCTCAGTCTCAGCTGCTACTTCTGCTGCAGAAACACACTCGCACGAAAACTCACTGCAAAAAGCTCGCAACAAGAACTTGAAAGGAGTCACTTCCAAAGCTCTCTGCGGATGCTTGTTCGGATGCGCCTTCTCCTTGGCGCGGTCCACTTCCATGCATCTCCCGTGTCGTCGTCTTCTTTCCCAAACTTCGGTGGGGTACCTTTGGGCACTCCTGCTTTGGACTTCGCTTTCGCCTTAGCTCTCGCGGGGCCGATCTCCTGGGCCATTGCCCACCAGCTCCTGGCTTCCGTCTCTAAGGGAACCCAAACCCAGGAACCCTTCCCATTCTGCTTCATCAAGCAACTCTCTCCGGGTGTGGCAGTGAACCAAGAACACCAACCCGAAAGCGACGCCTGCCAAGAACTGATCACATTGAAACCAATCTGACAAACCAGGACCTTCTGAAGCACTACAGGCCCTAGCCTCCCAAACTTCACACGGATATCGACCAACCCGAGGCATTCCATCTCGGTGTCGCTAGCACTCATCAAGACAGGCAGCGGTCCCGAATGCTCCTTCACGACTTCGTAAAACGACAAAGAAGCAACAGACAACACGTGGCACGTGGCTCCACTATCAACAAGCCACGCAAAGTGACTGTTCCTCGAAGAGGACTGGTTCAGCTTCTCTACTTCCTTATCCGTCATGGTGAGACGTGGGGGCTCAGCATCATTGGGCTCATTCTTCACTGCTTTCCCTGGGCGCATGCCCCTGAGACGATGAAATCTCAAGGCCATCACTTGCTCCGACGGCTCGTCTTCAACAGCGCGTCCCTTGGACTTCGCTTTCGGCTTCGCCTTTGGCTTTCCCCACTTTCCTTTGTCCTTGCCCTTCTCGCCCTTCTTGTCGCCTTTGCCCTTTCCTTTGGGCTCGCCTCCTCGACCGCCACCACCAGAGGGCTTTCCACCCTTGCCTTTGTCTTTGTCTTTGCCTTTTCCTTTGCCACCCTTCGGTGGTTCAGGACACTGCCAACTGTAGTGACCAGCCTTGCCGCAGTTCCAACACAAACCCTTGTCACCAACAGCGTGAAGGGCTCCAGCGTCGCAAAGCCTGGTCTGTTCCTCAAAGAACCGGATGCTCGTCACAAGCTCTTCCCAAGTTCCAGACTTGCCGTGCAAAACAACGTAATGCCGGCACTCAGGGTTGACAGATTGAAGCAAAATGGTTAGGCGATCTGAGCCGCCGGGCTTCAGCTCCGGAAAACGATGGAGCTTCTGATCCACTTTGCCCAGCTCATCCTCCAAGAACCGGACCACATCAAGTGGCCTCTTGTAGGTTCGGGCTCTGGCAGGCAACTTCAGGGCCTCATCTCTCACTGCAATTGCCTCCATTCTTGAGACAATGCTGAAAGTCGCATGCATTTGCCGCATGACTTCGTACCCACAAGCAGCTTGAGCTTGCCGCATGGACGTGCTTCTCACAAGCTCCATGCCTCTCTCAAACTTCTGCAAACTCTGTTGAAGGTAGTAAAACAACCGAGCAGACCTCGAAGCCACAGGAGCAGACATCTCTGACTGCTTGATCTCCCTGTTGTGCACCATTGCTTGGCGCAACTCGTTGACGTAGTTGTCGTCTATGAGCGCCAACCATGACGCCAAGACTTCACACCAACGGTGGTACTCTTCCAGCTCTTTCACACGCCCTTTCCCCATCGATGGAGCGTCGATGGTGGGCAAAGCAGGGAGGTACTTCTCAGCTCTGTTGCTTCCTACGTGCAACGACGGACCAGCAGACGCTGGAGGTGGAGGAGCAGTAGCTTTAGCTGACGGACTTCCAGCCGCAGCCGTCGAACCAAAGGGGTCCGCTACAGCTGCAGAGGCAGCCTCAGCTTCTCGCCTTCTTCTCTCATCTGCGTCCATCCTAGCCATCATGACCTGGAGCGTCTGCTGTTGCATCTGCATCATATTCAGCATCAACTGCTGCAGCTGTGGGTCCAAACCAACTGTCGTCGTCACTGCAGGTGGAACCGGTGCTTGCTGTGGCACTGGCTGCGGTGCCTGCTGCGGTCCAACAGTCGGGACAGGCTGAGGTCCTGGGTTCGACGGCTGACTCGCCTCTCCAGGACTCGGACCAAACAGTTCAAAGTCGTCCTCCTCAGGCACTGGGGTCGCGGCACTTTGGGCAGGGTCAGCCATGGCTTCTCTACAGCTACGAGCGTGCTACACACGCTCCGCTACCATGTGAAAACACAGCAGCAGCGCGCTGAACCCTCTTTTTCTCACGGCTTGAGCCAAAGTCAGCAGCCGGAGGCTTTGTCTGTGCAACTGGCCACAGATATTCCATGTGCCATAGCACTGCAAGTGAAACACTGCTCAGCCACGTGTTCTCCACAACTGCAAAACAAACTCAAACGTCAGTGGGAGTTCTCGGGACCTACTCAAAACTAGTGCAAGCAGAACTACAGCTACAGAGTCACTCCAAACGTAGTTACACCAAGGAAAAACACTTCCCTACACTCTCAAGCACTTCAAAAGGCTTTCCACTGAAAGCAAGCTCGTCAGTCAAGCCTCCAAGGCAAAACTTTCAGCTAAAACGACTCACACCTGAGCAGGCATGCAGGACAACCAAAGTAACATTGTCTTGAACATGAACTTTCACAACAGCTGCATTACAACTCTGAGCATTACATGGAAACAGATCTGACGTCTGTCCAGAGCGCATGATCACTCTTGCCCTTGCCACCGCCTTGACCTTGCCATCGCCCTTGGATTTATCGCGGTTGGCCTTGCTCTGGCAACGTCCTTTGCCTGTTCGTTGCCACTTGGCCGGGCTCTCGGTCATTGTCCCACCGTCGCTGTGGCCAGAAAGAATCTGGACGCAGTGGAGGTGCAACCTGTTCAAGGGCAATGGGCGACGTAAAATACTGCTTCTTGAGCTGAGCATCTAACGTCACCTGAACGAGTGTTCCTCAAAGGCCGATTGCCCTGTACAGCCCGTTTGATTGCCTCCTTTCGCAACTCACACTCGAAATTCGGAACACTGACCAAGGGGGCCGCAAAGGTACATGCTCGGTCTGATTGTTCTTCACACAGCAGAAATGCACTGCCAGCTTTGACACACAGGGCCAAGCCCGATGCAGCGAAATTTTCACACCTCTCATGTGTCACGGCTCTGGTGCATCTGAGGATGCAGACTCACTGCTGATCGCCCCTTGCTCCTGTTGCCGGGGTCCACTTGCAAATCGCGTCGGCTGAATCCCAAGTGATACTGTACAGAGATGGTCTCCAAGCAGCTTCTGTCTCACTGCACATGCACAAGTGGGATCAGCTGTGATTGGTGCTTGGGAGGCATGTCAACAATTTGCCGGAAAAGAGCAGACGCGCAGAAGCGCGTGTTGGAGTTTCAAGGTGCGATAGAGCCGCCTTCGAGGACTTCACGAGGTTGCATTACGCAAGACTCTGAAGACTCAAAGGATCAGACTGCAGTCGATTCCTCGGACCATGTTCACATCGTGCAGACCAAGGTCCAGGGATCACTGCCTCAGAGCACTGTTGCGCACAGTGATGCGTGTTGAGTGCAACCTGTGGTGCTTCTTGGCGACTAAGTGTCGCAACCGCATCAGATTGAGAAGAGTCACGACAGTATCAGGTGGAGTGCTGTGATGTCTTTCTTGTCGTAACGGTCGTAACGTTGTGCGAATTGAGGTGAGCTGATCAGACTCTTTAGACACGTGTTTGGAGGAAGCTTGCACATGGAAGTAAGAAAGCAGCTTCAAGTTCTTGTCCACTGAAGTCGATGCTGAGCTTGCACACCCTTCAGGAAGCTGGAGTCCCGCTTGGATCAAAGTATAAGCTCGCACAGTCTTTCAAAACTATGAGGCGTTTTCAGTCTTATGAGGACACTCGGTTCCTTCTGGCAGAAAGTGTTCGGAACATCGTTTTTTGTATGTGGCCCGATGGGTTCCTCAGAAAGTGTCCGGAACCTCGTTTTTTCATATGGCCTAATGGATTTCTTATGACTATCCTATGGCCTAACCTATGGCCAAAGATTGTATTCCTAAAACGCGAAAATGATTAGGTCATAGGGAAGGTGTATTAGGCTATAGGTTCATAGGATAGGTCATAAGGAATCCATTTAGGCCATGTAAAAAAACGAGGTTCGGGCACTTTCTGCCACAGAAATCAACCACATGGAAAAACGAGGTTCCTGACACTTTCTGCCAGAGGGAATCCATTGGAAAAACGAAGTTCCGGACACTTTCTGCCAGAGGGAATCCATTAGGCCCTATGGAAAAACAAGGTTCGGGACACTTTCTGCCGGAGGGAACCTGCAAAGGAGCCTTCTACTCTTGATGAGCGTGCGGGCAACCGCACTTGAAAGATCTTGCTGCTCCGCAAACGCTCTTGAGCGAAGAAGCAGCTCCTACCCAGATCGGTCGGCTGTGGCAGCCACTAGCATGGCATGCTGTGCCAGATGGCGTATTACTCAGCCTGGATTTGGAGCCTGGGGCCTTGATTTGGAACTGGGCCTGGATTTGCAGTTTAGAGTCTGGATTTGGGGGCAGGTGCCTGAATATGGGCCTGAGGCTGGATTTGAACTGGCTCTGGAGCCTGGAGGGCCGCCTGACGAAACTTTTGACTCTCTTTGGAAAAGGTGTTCCAGTGCTACTTTGTAGTAGCACAAGGCTGGTTTGGAGACAGAGACCAGAATTCGGTACTTCGAAGGCCAGGAATCCAGGCCAGAGGTTGGTTTGCCGACATACCAACTCCAAATCACGAGACTGCTGGGATGGAAGCAGAAGGGTGTTGCTGGGCTGCAGCTCGTAAGCTGCCGCGTTGCAGCTCTAAAAGCTGCTGGGCTGCAGCTCGCAAGCTGCCGGGTTTCTCGCGAGCTGTTTGGGGGCGAGCCGTCGCGCTTGGGAGCTGTTGGAGCGACGCGCGCTTCCCAGAGCTTCCAAAGATGTTTAAATAAGGAAACCATGCTTAAGTACATGATTAATCAACATAAAAATTGTTTAATTAAGCTGTAAAACCTTAATTAAACAATGTTTTTTGTTAAAATTGTTTAAATAAACACTTTTACTTGCTTAATTAAGCAATACAATGCTTAATTAAACAATCATTGCTTAAATGTTGTTGCAAATAACACATCTTAATTAAGCATGGTATTTCTTCTTGCAAGATCGATCATTTTTGCCACATGGGCCGATCGATGAATCGTTGAGCATGTGTCATGTTTGTCATGTTTTTTTTGGGAGTTGCGGCAACGTTTTTTTTTTGCGAGAACCGAACAATTGTGCGGTGTGTGCATGCATGCTTGCAGGTGCACATCGTAAGCAGGTTGCAGTGCAGTGTGCATGGAACATGCAGCAGATTAATGATCCATGTTGCAGCTTCCCTAAACCAGTTTTGCAGTATATACAGAGTTTAGATCCGGGCAGCATGGAAATCGATCTGAAAAGCAGTCCGAGGGCGAAGAACACGGCTACAGCGAAGGACATTTGCGCCTGCTCCGTGATTCATTTCAAGAATCGACCTATCGATATAGCATCTTTCAGAGAGGCAGATACAAAAGTCGTGCAAGAGCATGAGGCCTTGATCCAAGAAATCGTGGAAAAAACTTTGAGGCCGACAGTGAATGTCCTGAGGGATGGCATTATGCAGGCCTTTGAGATAAGCAAAGACGATGCACAGGAAATTGCCAAGAAGATCTGCTCCTGCTTCGTTCTTGCTCGAGGCAAGATGCAGAGCACCTCCACTGGCAAGAAATTGGAGCCAGCGCTCTGGAGGCTTGTGCAGAGGCTTAAGAGTTTGTCCGACACTTGCAGTTCTTCGCCGAAAGCACCTAGTTCGAAGGCCAGTTCTATTGTTCCATCGACATTTCGGGCTTCCAGCTTGAAGAAGAGGTTGTTGTTCTCTCCTGAGAGGAGAGTGAGACGCAAGACGGCTGCACGTCCCGAGTCCGCCAAAGAGATTTTGTCGGTTTATGGACTTAATCGGACAGATGCAGAGGAGGAGGTTAAAGATGCAGACGTCGAGCTTGCAGACGAAGCTGGCGATGTTGATGACTTTGGTGTTATTCATGACAGCCAAAGCGAAATTGAAATCTGCTCGTCGGAAAATGAGGAGCCGGCCGCAGCGAAGACCAAAGGACGAGCAAAGAAGGCTTATTTTGACCCTGCGGCTGGATGCTACATCAGACTCAATCCAGATGGCCAAGAAGTGAGAGGAGAACTTTCAGAGGGACCTGAGGGGTTCTGCATGGTTCGCTTTCCATCTGAAATGCCATTCCAATCGGAGGTGCCGAATTTATGGCTTGCTGAGAAGGAAGGCAAAAAAGGCCCGAAGCTGAAACGAGCTCGTGGGAAAGCTAAAACCAAAGCGAAGGGCTAGTGTAAGCAGTCGTCCGCCCCGGAGGAGCAGGAAGCACCGGATTCCGAAGCAGCTCCTGCTGAGGAGTCTCCTGATGCAGCAAGCGATTCTGGTCCTGACAAAAAGCTCGAGGCGGCGAGGCCTGAAAATTCTGCAGCTAGTGATGCACTCCTGTTCCAAGGCTATGATATCACAGGAATGCCAGAGGAGGCTCAGCCACCGGCCGATGCTTCGGGCAAGCACTCTTACACTGTTCGACTGCCGGACGGGATCGCCATTGACGTCCTTGTGAGGAACAAGGCTTTCTGGATCAAGAAGCCAACAGAATGCCGATCCCAGTACTCCTGGTCGCAGTACGACAATTTAGCAGATGCTTGGAGTGCCTGCCTTAAATTTTGCCGGGATTCTTTGGCAGACAAGCAGAATAAGGCTGAGTCGGTTAAAACCCTGACCTGAATCGTGCGGGTGGCGGGGATCCCTCGATCGAGCTATAGGATTGTGTATATCAGCGATTGTACAGGTGGATGGAATTGCAAAGATCGACATGCTGCATGCATGCAGGATTGGACGAAAAATTTTTTTGTCAGAAGTTTTGCAGTTTCGCTTAGTTTGCTTAAGTCACTAGTGCAAGTGCAGAGATTTTGACGAATCATGTTGCTGGTGCACACACATGCTTGACTTGATGTTGCTGCAGCCGTTTTTGCATGAGTGTTTTCGTTGTTGCTTTGTCAAGTCCGGGCCTCAGAGTGCTAGCTTAAGTTCCGAAGACACATGTTGAGATCTGGACATGTGCTCTGGCAGTGCAGGTGTTAGGTTGTTTTTTGCTGACTGCATGCCAGCAGTTCAGAAGTCCAAGCATGAGCTCCTTGGGAGGAGCTAGGTTAAAGAATCTTGGCTGTGCTTGCAGGTCTGGCGGCAGCAGCTGCGATCCCGGTCGATCTTCAAATTCAGATCGAGGTGCGACGGCTTGTGTTTGCATTTCTGTGCAGCAGTCTTAATTGCAGTGCATGCTAGCTCCTTGGTAGGAGCATGTGCATGTTTTGAGATGCATGTGAGATCTAGATCTGCTGGCGATCGCTGTTTGCAGGGCATACAGATGTGCTGAAAACTCCTTGGTAGGAGGTAGCAGTCAGGATTCGAGTATTGCGCATTGCTCGATAGTTTTTTTGAGCTTAGCTGTTAATTCAGCTATGTCGCAGCGCGATGCACCGGAAGCCCTGCAGGACATTCGTATGTGTCCGAAATGCGGGACCCGGAGCTATCTCAGGAAGCGGGTGTGCATCAACATCTTATGCCAGTGGTATTACATGCGTCAGGAGCCCAATACCAATCTTTGGGCACGTGGCCCCATTCAGAGTTCAGATCCCCAGACTGCATCCTCGGGGTCCCTGGGCTCTTCGAGCAAACGATCCTGGAGCTGGACCTCGTGGAAAAACAGCGGCTACGCTGACGGCGTATATCAGAACAAGCTTGAGCAACAACTCCAAGACGTCCTCGACGAGGAGGAATCGGACCCGGAGGTTCAGGTTGTGGCTGCTCGGGAAGGCGACGGGCCACGGATCGAGGAGGTCGTGTCCAGCGACGAAGAGGCGAATGCCTTCATCTTCGGTTTGGAGAAGAGAAACCAAGTGAGCTCTTTTTCCGAGTATGAGGACGCCCGCCATGCATGGGAAAGCGCTTCCCAGGAGCACAAGGCGGGGCATGCTCTGAGGTCAGCCATAAAGATGGAGAAGGAGCATAGCTATGGCTCGGAGAAGGCTGCGTCGGCAGCCCAAGTGGCCCTTGAGGAGGGCCAAAAGTGGCAGAGGCTTCAGGCAAAGGGTGCCGCCTCCGAAAAATATCAGGCTGCAGTGCAAAAACGGCGCTTTGTGTCTGTGAAAGCGGAGCCGCCGGTGCAGGATGACCCCTACATGCAAGCTCCTGGGGAGGAGCCGGCGATGGAAAGCACCGGGGCCACGGAGCAAGGTGACACTGCTGAACAAAGCACGGCTGCGAATGAGCAAAGTACCCGTGAGGATACTTGGGGCTATGGCGATTATTCAAGCAGCTATGGCCGTGGTTGGAAGAGCGGCGGTCGCAAGCAGCAGTCGAGCTCCAGCTGGGAGAGGCCCGGCCCGCAGAGTGGCAGAAGCCAGGATGCCATGCAGAAGTACAATGAATGGGAAGAGTTTATGGATAAAAAATCCCAGGCTTATTGGGGCTCGGATCGATGGCAGCGGGACTATGCCTCTCAGGAGCAACAGCAGTCTTTCAAGAAGAGCAAAGGCAAGAAAAGAAAATTGTGGCTCGCCAGCCAGATTGAGACTCTGAAGCAGGAGGGCAGATGGGTCGGAGCAGCTCCGTCGGAATCCTCCAAGAAGCTTCGTTTGATCCGTGAGGCCTGGGTTAAATTCTGTGGTATCAGGGTATATGCTCCTAGGTAGGAGCCAGCTTCTGCAGATGCTCAGTGCATCTGTTATAACTTAAGTCACATCAGTATGAAGCACATGTTCATTCTGTTTGCAGGCCGAGGCGAAGCAGATTGCAGGCCAAGGAGCCCGTCAGGAGGGCGGTGGTGCAGCTGAGGAGCCAGCTGCAGTGGATGCGGGTCCTGACGAGGCTCAGGAGGAGCCCGGCTCGGTGGCATACCTGGCAGAGCTTCCAATCCATGGTGGAAGGCGCCGAGACCATTGAACACGTGATTGGTCTTGATGAAGCCTACAAGCGCCTGAAGAATAACCAAGCGGAAACACAGGCAGAGCAGGCGGCTGCAGATGAAACCCAGGAAGACCGTGAGGATTCTGATGAACTGCGTTGAGGCAGTGTCTGCTGTAGCATATGTGTCTGCGGCCGGATTGATCTTCCCGCAACGAGACGATAAAAACAAGGACTCCTTGGCAGGAGTCGCCAGCTAGTGTGCGTCTGTGTTTGGGTCGGCAGTGCTCGTAGGTTGCAGCTTGTTGGTAGGAGTCGGCAGCTGGTGTGCATCACGTTTGCAGTTTGTTGCTCCTTGGTAGGAGTGGTCCTGCTCCTGGGTAGGAGTTTGTTCACGTGTACACATGCATGTCGTCTAGCGATTGCCAGGTCTTCGCAGCATGGAGGATCAGAACCCAGGCCAGTTCCATTTGTGATTCGTGTCCAATTCTCTCTGAGGTCTGTTGTGGGGAGTGATGGGTGAAGATTCTGGTAAGCGACGGAAAATTTTTAACAAGCTTTTTTTTTAACAAATTTTTAACTGTTAAAAAAATGGCTTATGAAAGGATTCCTTTCATAAGCCATTTTTTTAACAGTTAAAAATTTGTTAAAAAAAAGCTTGTTAAAAATTTTCGGGGTCTTCCTAGACCCAGGTGCGGATCCGCAGAGCGACCATTCTCCACCGCATTGGCATCGGCAGCTGTACCCAGCCAGGTTCTTGGATTCAAGTTCGGCAGCAGAGTTTTGACTTTCTGCAGGCCAGCCCTGCCATGCAAAGGCTCGATTGTGGATGAAACAGCAACTGAGCTGGCACATGGGAGGCATGAGGCAGCGACCTGTGCTTCATTTGCCGTTGTTCGCTTTGCAGCTGATGAGAAGGCTTTTCACGACCCGGTTGAGTGCATTCGCTCTGTGGTTTCTGTACGATACATTTGATTGCTCCGAGCAGTGCTTCCAAAAGTTCTTGTATGAATGGTATACTCGTTATGTTGGCTATTGGAATGATAGATACTTCCTGAAGTGTCGCTCGGTCTCTGGAAGTGCCATCTCCTTGGCTAGGAGATTAGGTGCTGACATGCATTGGTGGCAAAACGATTATGATTTGGACGAGCTGTGACCTGCCGGCGAAGGCGATGGTGTCTTGCAAAATGAAATAACTTATGCATGCTGTGTGCAACAGTGAACATGTCATGGCACTCGTGTGCCACCGTTCTCGACTCTTCGCATGAATTTTCTGCTGAATCAATGTTTAGATCGAGCTCAGCTCACGATATATGATCGGGTAGCATTCCTGTAGCCTCCCCGGATTGATGGCGCCGGCCCAGAGCAAGGGCGGCAAAGGTCCGCAGAACAGCAAGATGGCCAAGGCCGTGGCTGCAAAGAGCAAGGCCGCCAAGGCTAAGGTTAAGCACGAAAAGGTGACCCCCGAGAGGAAAGCCAAGGCTGCCAAGGTGGAGCTCGGTGATGCGGCCGAGGAAGACGATGATTCAACGGCACCGAGCGGCTTGGGGTATGCTCGGGGCACAATTTCAGCTGCTTTGACCGGGCTTCGCTATCAGCTCAAAGCTAAAAAAACTACGGACGAAGAGAAACAAAACGCCCAAAAAGTACTCGAGGACCGCCTGCATCTTGCACTTCCGGCACTTCCGTGCCAGTTGTTTTGATTCTTGTTTTCGTTCCACTCGTGCTCCTTGGCAGGAGTACGAGGCGGGGGACATTGCCACCAAGAGAGAGATATTGAGCAAGGTCTCACAGTTCGGCGTCCGTCAGGGGTACACGATTTGGTCAAGACGACCGTGAATACCAACAGTGAGCACGAAGATACCGTCAAGAACTGGTACACTCGGATTTTCGGTGGCAGTTTTGTCAGATTTTGGCTCTTGTTTGATTGTCTATTCTATGATTATATTCTCTAGGCTTCGACTATGGAACGGATGATTATATTGAGCATGCATGCACACTGCATGCAGGACGGCAATTTTCAAGCTGGAGGGCATCGATGAAAGCGGCTTGGAGGAAGATATGAAGAAGGATCTGCTGGAAGAGCTGATGTCCGAAGCCGAAAAGCGGTACGGCTATGAGAGATCGACGAAAATTCACCCCAAGTTCGAGGTGCTCAGCAAGTACTTCTACATGCACTCGAAAGGCCAGGTGGCCCGCCAGGCCACTAAGACGGAGGAGTCCCTGGGAAGCCATTGTTCCGGCATGAAGAACTTGCAGTTGAAGGACAAGAGGTCCCTCGACATCATGTTGGGCAGGAGTGCGGCAAGCTCCAGTTCCAAGGATCCGGCTTTGCAGCCGAGCCAGAGCCATACCCTGGCAAAAGATCTTTTGAAGAAGATCGTGGCCGAGAAGAGAAAGCTGACCCAAAACAACGAGGAGCTGAAGTCTTTGAAGACCAAGATTTCCACGAAGTACAGCGGGGACAAAACATGGGATAATCGCAAGGACGACGTCGATCAGGCGATCGCAGCTCTCGAGGACTTCTTGGGTGTTCTTCGCCAGCACGAGGCCGAGAGTGTGCCGGCGGATGTTACTTCCGATTGCACCGAGCTTGTGGCCACCTTTCACACTGTCGTCGACCAGGCTGCCAACCACGACAAAGGCAGCAAGGCCTTGCTCAAGAAAGTCAATGGCCTGATGGAGTGATCGGCCCTAGGCTTGAGATTCATCACCCTCGATGATATTATCCGGTAGGAGTACAGGTGTTGTTCCAAGTTCGCCTTGAGACGGAGCTCCTTGGCAGGAGAGGCTGCACTGACCTCGCAGTGGTAGAAAATGCGTGCATGCAATGCTTCTTCCCGCATGTTTGCAGCTATGAGACCCGTGAGTGCTTGCAGACTTTCTGTTGCTTCTTACATTCTGCAGGCTCGGCCCCATGTCGCACAGGCACGTGCGCATAGCTACTTCGATCTAAGTAAATTCATATGCTAAGACAGTGTATGTTTATAAATATATATATATATATATATATATATATATATACTGTATATATGTGAAAACCGCATGTACTTTGGATTAATTTTTGATTGTCCAGACATTGTTCTGTAGGGTTCGCTTCGCTTCGAGACTTGCCGGCAATGTTCAACAAAAGATCTTTGACAACAGAAGATGTCCAGGCCGTTGCTCCTGCAAAACGATTCAGGTCCGAGATGGTCGACATATTTTTAAACAATGAGCTCAGTTCTGAGCGAAGCGCTCGAGTACTGCGGTCAGCACAGCAAGCCGGGGCACTGCATGTGGAAGATTTACAGGTCCGCCCAGAGACTCGCAACACCCATCGGGATCTTTTGCGCAAATGTTTCAGAAACACGAAATGGCCTTCGTTATATCATGCAAAGGTTCGTGGCTGGAATCAGGCGAAGAATACGTCTGAAGAGTATTCCTTGGCAATTTTGCTGCCTCACGAATCCTTGCACTCACTGCTCAAAGTGAACACGCCAGAGGCCTTGCTTCAGCAGCAAGCCGAGATCTTGCCTGACAGGCCTGACCTGGAGAACCACTTGCATTTTTTGGAGGATGAGTTGGGCTTGGATTCTGAATCCACTCTCCTCATGGGGATGTGGTGCGATGGTGTGCCTTTCAACAGCGACCGATCCATGACTTTGGAGACGATTTGTTTGAACATCTTTGGCCAGCAGAATCTTCGCCTGCCTGTTGCGGCCTTTCCAAAAGAATTTGTATCCAAATCGCAAACTTTTGAGGATGTATTCGAAATCATCCAGTGGTCCTTTAAGCAGCTGGCGACGGGGAGCATGCCAAGCTGCCGACACGATGGCATGCCCTTCAATCGAACCGATAGTTATCGACAACGTTTGGCAGGCAAAAAGCTTCCACTGAGAGCTGCTCTGGCTGAATTTCGAGCTGATTGGAGCTGTTACAAGGACGTTTTGAGCTTCCCTTCTTGGAGTTCGAAGGGGTTTATCTGTTGGCGGTGTATGTGCCCCCGAGCTGATTTGAAAAAATTTGATACTCAGACTTTCGCCAAGCATCTGGGATTGATAGATTCAAAGTTTTATATCTTTTGGCATACCCTAGCATGATACAGTCGACTTAAGGAGTCAATTAACCGGCTCGAAATATCGCCACCAGGAAAGAATTGTCTTTTAATTTCGACGTGTGAGGCATGCTAGACAGTTGAAGTCGATCGCTTATTCCTGGCAGTTGCCTTTGCCTCAGGTACCCTCTCATTTCCAGCATGGACTTCTTCATGCGCCAGAGGCAGCAGAATAAATTGGTGTCGAGATTATTTTCTTGCCCAGGATTCAATACGGCTTGCTGCAAGATGGACTTTTTACACGCTTGCGACCTCGGAGTAACATCCGACTGGCTTGGGTCTTTGCTGTTTTACTTACAGAGTGAGAAGATCCGAGGCCTGAGCAAACTCATCCGATGTGCCAAGCTGTACCAAGACATCAAGGCATACTACGACAGAACTGGGGTCCAAGATCGATTGCCGAAGCTCCTTCCCACCATGCTTCGTGAAGAGGATCGAGGCAAGATCAAATCCCCCAAGTTGAGAGCCAAAGCAGGGGAAGCTCGAGCACTCGTCGGTGCTGCCATGGAATTGGCTACAAAGTATTTGTCGCCAGCAAAGCCTGCTGAACAGGCGATGTTGCATGGCACAGAAGCTTTGCAGTCCATATATGCCTGTCTCAGCACTGCAGCTTGGGACAAGGAAGTCTTCAGAGTTTCTTCTCAGAAGTTTCTTTTACTCTGGGGCAGCCTCGAGACTTACTTCGAGGTGGACAAGCTCTTCAGGGTTAAACCTAAAGCCCATCAGCTGTTCGAATTGGCCAGGGGCGAGGTGTACCCTAGCAAGACCTGGACCTACAGGGATGAGAGCTATGGGCATACCCTAGCATTGCTGGGCAGACGGCGTGGTGGCAAGTTTTCGATGAATGCTGTGTCTTGTCAAGTTTTCAGACGATTCCTGGCAGCTAATAAAGTTCCTCGAATCGAGATCGGCACGTGATCCTTGGGAGGAAAAAACACGTGCAGTCGATCGTCCGCATGCATGTATATAATTGGGATGCATATACAGAAAATAACATTTCTTAATTAGGCATTGTTTTTGTCATTCACATACCATGTTTAAATAGGCACTATAGTGTTTAATCAAGATGATTAAAGATATCTAAAAATTATTTAAGCATCTTTGGAAGCTCTGGGTTGCGCGCGCGAGGCTGTTGGCGCGGGCCTCGTGAGCTGCTGCAGCTCGCAAGCTGCCGGGTTGCAGCTCTTAAGTTGCTCGTAAGCTTCCGGGCTGCAGCTCGTAAGCTGCTCGGAAGCTCGCTCGGCGAGCTGCTCTGCTCGTCGGCAGCTCGTAGGCTGCTCGCGAGCTCGCGAACGGCGACTTCGAAGTGCCGCGCGCGAAAAGCACCTTTAAAGCCCGTTTTGCTCGCACTTTAGAGCCCCTAAGATCGTCGGAGCTGCGGGCCGTAGGCCCGCGAATCGAGAGTGCTCCAAAGTACCGAATTCTGACCTATGTCTCGAACTGAGGCCTGTAGCCAAGCTAGTTGTGAGTTTGTTTTTTTGTATCAACTGTGTTTTATGTTCTTGTGTCGAATGTAACCGTTGCTTCGCACTGCATTTCGGCTCAAGCCACTCACAACTAGCTCTCTCACGCTTGGCATCGCATGCTTTCAAGCTTTTTTCAGCATTCTGAACTAGAAGCTCATATAGCTCTCTTTGTTGCTACGCATTGCATGGCAGTTTTCCTCCATCTCGACGCCATGGACCCGCCCCAGGCAGCAACGCCGGACCAACTGGTCCGCGCACTGCAGAGCCTCGCAGAAGACTGCGTTGAGATGGGGGCTACGCTGCATGAACGCATCGATGCCCTTTCGCATCGCCTGCAGGAAGCTTTGGCCAAAATTGGCAGTCTGGAGCATCGCATTGCACTCTTGGAAGGCGCGCCGCAGTGCACTGATGCAGTAGATTTCTCTTTTGAAGAAATGGATTGATTGCGTTGTTCGCAACGCACCGCCCGGCATTGCACTACCGCGGCTTGTCTAGCGCTTTCCATAGGTGACTTTAGCTGTCTATTTCAGACGCCATGTCGCAACGCCAAGGCAATAAGAAGCAACGCATTGCTACCCCTGAGCCGCGGACCGCCAACCACAGCACCGCAACGCTGGTCGAGGCACTCTTGCATCTCAGCAGTGATCTTCCAGGAAGCTCAGAATACATTTCGGGCAGTCTGCCAGAAGTTTTTCTTTCGCAACGCTCTGCAAGCATTTTGCTCCGCTTTCTCGAGATGTCCGATAGAAGACACCTTTCCTTCATGCATAGCACAGTGCATCGCAGAATGGCAGGGACGTGGGATCTCACGCCAGGAGACCGTCAGATTCTAACAACAAATCTGCACAGCACAGTGGCATTGCAGTACCTTCTTGATCGCACAGCATAGCATGGCAGCGTCGGCGCCCGACTTTGACGCATTGACTTGGTTGGCTGTTGGTTGGCACGACCGCAAAGCATTGCAATTTTTCTTCAGTGTTTGGAGTTGCGCTGTCAACCCTGCACAGCTAACGCATTGGCAAACGCAAGATTCCTTGAGCATTGCATCGCTTTTCTCTGCAGGCCCTGCCTTGATTGCCCCCGGCATTGTGTGCCTGGGCCCGCAACGCTCTCGCAAAGAAGTGCGCCGCATTGAACTTCTCAGTGCTTGGCGCGCTGCGCGCGCAAAGCTCCTGCAACGCATCATTGGCAATTGGCATAGCAGCGTCCTATGGCAACAACATTGCAGATACGTTTCAGCACTGGCACCCTTCCCCGCACCGCAAGAGCCAGAAGGTGAACCTAGCACAGAATATCGCGCAACATTGCATTGCATCGCACAAGACCTCCGCCCTTGGTTTCGCATTATTGCACTGCTTAGCTACCAGGGCATCCGCGACGTCTTGGTGACTGATCGTCTCATTTGGCATCGCACTCGCATTGCACAGCAGAGGCGCAATTTTATAGTTCTAAACGGCCGCCCTGCACTTGTATGGCGACGGGGGCATACCCTTCCCGTCATTATCTGCATCAGCAGGCCTAGCACAGAGTCTGCAATGTGTGATCGTGCATTGGTGGACTTCCTTTAGCGCTGCATAAACGCACAGCTATGTTTTGCAACGCAGCATGCCCTGCGAAATTCAGCTCCTTGCTTGAAGTTTTTTGCAACGCATTGCAATGTTTCTTGACGAAAACAGAACGCTTTCTCTGTGTATTTCCTCATGTTGCACTGACGCATGCCGCAGCGCGTTGGTTTTCATGCACGCATGCTTTGACAGCTTGGGCAGGTCAATCGCATTGCCTATGGAGGTCAGCCCTGCTGGTCCATTTTTACGCCTTTGCAACTGCCTCGCTTGGCAGGCTGCATCGATCAATCAACGAGCCCTGCGCCGGGCCCCAGAGAAGCCTCTTCTCATCAGCTTTGCAACGCCCTGCAACGCAAGATTCTCACTTGGCTACGCAGTGCCCAGCTCAGCGCTTTCAGGCAAGGCCTCCTTGCTTAATGCTGAAATACTCTCCGCTCGCCTCGCTCAGGTCAGCACTGCAAAGCTTCGACTCGGAGCCTCAGCTGCTTGCGCCAAGCCTTTTTCGAAGCACCCCCCTAAATTTTTCAGCCCTGCCCTAACCTCGCACTGCTCAGGTCATGC